TCACCAGCAACACACACAGTCACCAGCAACACACACAGTCACCAGCTACACACAAGTCACCAGCTACACACACAGTCACCAGCTACACACACAGTCACCAGCTACACACAAAGTCACCAGCAACACACACAGTCACCAGCAACACACAAAGTCACCAGCTACACACACAGTCACCAGCTACACACACAGTCACCAGCTACACACAAAGTCACCAGCAACACACAAAGTCACCAGTAACACACACAGTCACCAGCTACACACACAGTCACCAGCTACACACAAAGTCACCAGCAACACACAAAGTCACCAGCAACACACACAGTCACCAGCTACACACACAGTCACCAGCAACACACAAAGTCACCAGCAACACACACAGTCACCAGCTACACACACAGTCACCAGCTACACACACAGTCACCAGCTACACACAAAGTCACCAGCAACACACACAGTCACCAGCAACACACAAAGTCACCAGCAACACACACAGTCACCAGCTACACACACAGTCACCAGCTACACACACAGTCACCAGCTACACACAAAGTCACCAGCAACACACAAAGTCACCAGCTACACACACAGTCACCAGCTACACACAAAGTCACCAGCAACACACACAGTCACCAGCAACACACACAGTCACCAGCTACACACACAGTCACCAGCTACACACAAAGTCACCAGCTACACACAAAGTCACCAGCAACACACACAGTCACCAGCAACACAACACAGTCACCAGCAACACACACAGTCACCAGCAACACACACAGTCACCAGCAACACACACAGTCACCAGCAACACACACAGTCACCAGCTACACACAAAGTCACCAGCAACACACACAGTCACCAGCAACACACACAGTCACCAGCAACACACACAGTCACCAGCTACACACACAGTCACCAGCAACACACAAAGTCACCAGCTACACACAAAGTCACCAGCAACACACACAGTCACCAGCAACACACAAAGTCACCAGCTACACACACAGTCACCAGCGACACACAAAGTCACCAGCTACACACAAAGTCACCAGCAACACACACAGTCACCAGCAACACACACAGTCACCAGCTACACACAAAGTCACCAGCAACACACAAAGTCACCAGCAACACACAAAGTCACCAGCTACACACAAAGTCACCAGCAACACACAAAGTCACCAGCTACACACAGAGTCACCAGCAACACACAAAGTCACCAGCTACACACAAAGTCACCAGCAACACACAAAGTCACCAGCTACACACAGAGTCACCAGCAACACACAAAGTCACCAGCTACACACAAAGTCACCAGCAACACACACAGTCACCAGCTACACACAAAGTCACCAGCAACACACAAAGTCACCAGCTACACACAAAGTCACCAGCTACACACAAAGTCACCAGCAACACACAAAGTCACCAGCTACACACAAAGTCACCAGCAACACACAAAGTCACCAGCTACACACAAAGTCACCAGCAACACACAAAGTCACCAGCTACACACAGAGTCACCAGCAACACACAAAGTCACCAGCTACACACAAAGTCACCAGCAACACACACAGTCACCAGCTACACACAAAGTCACCAGCAACACACAAAGTCACCAGCAACACACACAGTCACCAGCAACACACACAGTCACCAGCAACACACAAAGTCACCAGCAACACACACCGTCACCAGCTACACACAAAGTCACCAGCAACACACAAAGTCACCAGCAACACACACAGTCACCAGCAACACACAAAGTCACCAGCTACACACAAAGTCACCAGCAACACACACAGTCACCAGCTACACACAAAGTCACCAGCAACACACAAAGTCACCAGCAACACACACAGTCACCAGCAACACACAAAGTCACCAGCAACACACAAAGTCACCAGCAACACACACAGTCACCAGCTACACACACAGTCACCAGCAACACACAAAGTCACCAGCTACACACACAGTCACCAGCAACACACAAAGTCACCAGCTACACACAGAGTCACCAGCAACACACAAAGTCACCAGCAACACACACAGTCACCAGCAACACACAAAGTCACCAGCTACACACAAAGTCACCAGCAACACACACAGTCACCAGCTACACACAAAGTCACCAGCAACACACAAAGTCACCAGCAACACACACAGTCACCAGCAACACACAAAGTCACCAGCTACACACAAAGTCACCAGCAACACACACAGTCACCAGCAACCACAAAGTCACCAGCAACACACACAGTCACCAGCAACACACAAAGTCACCAGCTACACACAGAGTCACCAGCAACACACAAAGTCACCAGCAACACACACAGTCACCAGCAACACACAAAGTCACCAGCTACACACAAAGTCACCAGCAACACACACAGTCACCAGCTACACACAAAGTCACCAGCAACACACAAAGTCACCAGCAACACACACAGTCACCAGCAACACACAAAGTCACCAGCTACACACAAAGTCACCAGCAACACACACAGTCACCAGCTACACACAAAGTCACCAGCAACACACAAAGTCACCAGCTACACACAAAGTCACCAGCTACACACAAAGTCACCAGCAACACACACAGTCACCAGCGACACACAAAGTCACCAGCTACACACAAAGTCACCAGCTACACACAAAGTCACCAGCAACACACACAGTCACCAGCAACACACACAGTCAACCAGCTACACACAAAGTCACCAGCTACACACAAAGTCACCAGCTACACACAAAGTCACCAGCTACACACAAAGTCACCAGCAACACACACAGTCACCAGCAACACACAAAGTCACCAGCAACACACAAAGTCACCAGCAACACACAGTCACCAGCAACACACAAAGTCACCAGCTACACACAGAGTCACCAGCAACACACAAAGTCACCAGCAACACACAAAGTCACCAGCAACACACAAAGTCACCAGCTACACACACAGTCACCAGCAACACACAAAGTCACCAGCTACACACAGAGTCACCAGCAACACACAAAGTCACCAGCTACACACAAAGTCACCAGCTACACACACAGTCACCAGCAACACACAAAGTCACCAGCTACACACAAAGTCACCAGCAACACACAAAGTCACCAGCAACACACAAAGTCACCAGCAACACACAAAGTCACCAGCTACACACACAGTCACCAGCAACACACAAAGTCACCAGCTACACACACCGTCACCAGCAACACACAAAGTCACCAGCTACACACAGAGTCACCAGCAACACACAAAGTCACCAGCTACACACAAAGTCACCAGCAACACACACAGTCACCAGCTACACACAAAGTCACCAGCTACACACAAAGTCACCAGCAACACACACAAAGTCACCAGCAACACACAAAGTCACCAGCAACACACAAAGTCACCAGCAACACACACAGTCACCAGCTACACACAAAGTCACCAGCTACACACAAAGTCACCAGCAACACACACAAAGTCACCAGCAACACACACAGTCACCAGCAACACACAAAGTCACCAGCAACACACAAAGTCACCAGCAACACACACAGTCACCAGCAACACACAAAGTCACCAGCTACACACACAGTCACCAGCTACACACAAAGTCACCAGCAACACACACAGTCACCAGCTACACACAAAGTCACCAGCAACACACAAAGTCACCAGCAACACACACAGTCACCAGCAACACACAAAGTCACCAGCAACACACAAAGTCACCAGCAACACACAGTCACAGCTACACACACAGTCACCAGCAACACACAAGTCACCAGCTACACACAAAGTCACCAGCTACACACACAGTCACCAGCAACACACAAAGTCACCAGCTACACACAGAGTCACAGCAACACAACAAAGGTCACCAGCTACACACACAGTCACCAGCAACACACAAAGTCACCAGCTACACACAGAGTCACCAGCAACACACAAAGTCACCAGCAACACACACAGTCACCAGCAACACACAAAGTCACCAGCTACACACACAGTCTCTGTTGTCTCCGTGCCCCCCAGGGTGTGCCGAGTGATGCGGATAGTGACAGTGGTAGGGTAGTGATGCGGGTAGTGATAGGGTAGGTAGTGATGCGGGTAGTGACAGTGGTAGGGTAGTGATGCGGGTAGTGATAGTGGTAGGGTAGTGATGCGGTAGTGACAGTGGTAGGGTAGTGATGCGGGTAGTGATAGTGGTAGGGTAGTGATGCGGGGTAGTGACAGTGGTAGGGTAGTGATGCGGGTAGTGATAGTGGTAGGGTAGTGATGCGGGTAGTGATAGTGGTAGGGTAGTGATGCGGTTAGTGATAGTGGTAGGGTAGTGATGCAGGTAGTGACAGTGGTAGGGTAGTGATGCCGGGTAGTGATAGTGGTAGGGTAGTGATGCGGGTAGTGACATGGTAGGGTAGTGATGCGGGTAGTGACAGTGGTAGGGTAGTGATGCGGGTAGTGACGTGGTAGGGTAGTGATGCGGGTAGGGACAGTGGTAGGGTATGTGGATGCGGGTAGTGACAGTGGTAGGGTAGTGATCGGGTAGTGATAGTGGTAGGGTAGTGATGCGGGTAGTGATAGTGGTTAGGGTAGTGAGGCGTGGTAGTGATAGTGGTAGGGTAGTGATGCGGGTAGTGATAGTTTGGATAAGTGGTAGGGTAGTGATGACGGGTAGTGACAGTGGTAGGGTAGTGATGCGGGTAGTGACAGTGGTAGGGTAGTGATGCGGGTAGTGATAGTGGTAGGGTAGTGATGCGGGTAGTGATAGTGGTAGGGTAGTGATGCGGGTAGTGATAGTGGTAGGGTAGTGATGCGGGTAGTGATAGTGGTAGGGTAGTGATGCGGGTAGTGATAGTGGTAGGGTAGTGATAGGGGTAGTGATATGGGTAGTGATGGTGATGGTGGTAGTGGTGGTAGTGATGTTGGTGTTTCTGCTTCACCACTGGGTGTCCTCCTGCCCCCCCCCCCCTGCCCCCCTGCCCCCCCCCTAACCCCCCAGGGTGTGCCGAGTGCTGTGTGCGCTGTCTGGGGGGGGTCCCGTACGCCTCTCTTGTGGCCACGCTGCTCTGCTTTGCCGGCGTGGCGCTGTTCTGTGGCTGCGGCCACGAGGCGCTGGGCAACGCGCTGGCGCTGCTGGACGACCACTTCCAGTACCCGCACCACGACAGCCTGCTGCTCTTCCAAGTGTCAGTCTACACACACACCACACACTACACCCCTACACACCTACACACACACCTACACACACACACTACACCCTACACCTACACACACACTACACACACACACTACACACACACTACACACACACACTACACACACACTACACACACTCACTACACACATCTACACACACACACCTACACACACACTACACACACACCTACACACACACACACACTACACACACACCCTACACACACACACTACACACACACTACACACACTACACACACACACTAGACACACTACACACACACACTACACACACACTACACACACTACACACACACTACACACACACACTACACACACTATACACACACACTACACACACACTACACACACATCTACACACACACACTACACACACACCTACACACACACCTACACACACACTACACACACACCTACACACACACACTACACACACTACACACACACCCTACACACACACACTACACACACTACACACACTACACACACTACACACACACACTAGACACACTACACACACACACTACACACACACTGCACACACACTACACACACACCCTACACACACACTACACACACACACTACACACACACTACACACACTATACACACACACTACACACACACTACACACACACACTACACACACACTACACACACTACACACACACACTACACACACTACACACACTACACACACACTACACACACTACACACACACTACACACACTACACACACACACTAGACACACTACACACACACACTACACACACACTACACACCCTACACACACACTACACACACACACTACACACACACTACACACACTACACACACACTACACACACACACTACACACACACACTACACACACACTACACACACACTACACACACTATACACACACACTACACACACACTACACACACACTACACACACACTACACACACTATACACACACACTACACACACACTACACACACACACTACACACACACTACACACACTACACACACACACTACACACACTACACACACTACACACACACTACACACACTACACACACACTACACACACTACACACACACACTAGACACACTACACACACACACTACACACACACTACACACCCTACACACACACTACACACACACTACACACACTATACACACACACTACACACACACTACACACACACTACACACACACACTACACACACACTACACACACACACTACACACACACTACACACTCACTACGCACCACGACAGCCTGCTGCTCTTCCAAGTGTCAGTCACCCCTCGTACACACCTCGTCACCCCCTCCCCCTCCACCTTGTCACCCCCTCCCCCTCCACCTCGTCACCCCCTCCACCTTATCACTCCCTACACCTCCACCCCCTCCACCTCGTCACCCCCTCCACCTCCTCCACCTCGTCACCCCCTCCACCTCATCGTCGTCACCACCTCAGGGTGTCTGTGGCAGGGAGGCTGGTGGCTGCTGTTGGTGGCAGCCAAGTCCCTTAGCACACAGCCCAGTGGTGACTTGTCCTGGGTCTCTGTCTCTCTGTCTCTCCCCCTGTCTCTCTCTGTCTCTGTCCATGTCTCTCTCTCTCTCTCACTGTCTCTGTCTCTCCCCCTGTCTCTGTCTCTCTCTCTGTCCATGTCTCTCACTGTCCCGTGTCTCTCCCACTGTCTCTGTCTCTCTGTCTCTCCCCCTGTCTCTCTCTCTCTGTCCATGTCTCTCTCTCTCTCTCACTGTCTCTGTCTCTCTGTCTCTCTGTCTCTCCCCCTGTCTCTGTCTCTCTGTGTCCATGTCTCTCACTGTCCCGTGTCTCTCCCACTGTCTCTGTCTCTCTGTCTCTCCCCCTGTCTCTCTCTCTGTCCATGTCTCTCTCTCTCTCTCACTGTCTCTGTCTCTCCCCCTGTCTCTGTCTCTCTCTGTGTCCATGTCTCTCACTGTCCCGTGTCTCTCCCACTGTCTCTGTCTCTCCCTGTCTCTGTCTCTCTCTCTGTCTCTCCCCCTGTCTCTGTCTCTCTCTCTGTCCATGTCTCTCACTGTCTCTGTCTCTATCCCTGTCTCTGTCTGTCTCTCTGTCTTTGTCTCTTTTTGTCTGTCTGCAGGGTGGACGTGGTGTACTGTCTCCATGTCTGTCTCTGTCTCCATGTCTGTCTCTGTCTCCATGTATCTCCGTCTGTCTGTGTGTGCAGGGTGGACGTGGTACGCTTCTCCATGTCTCTGTCTCTCTGTCTCCATGTCTCTGTCTCTGTGTCTATCTGCAGGGTGGACGTGGTGCGCTACTGCATGTCTCTGTCTCTCTGTCTGTGTCTGTGTGTGTGTGTCTGTGTGTGTGTGTCTGTGTGTGTGTCTGTGTGTGTGTCACTGTGTGTGTGTCACTGTGTGTGTGTCTCTGTGTGTGTCTCTCTGTGTGTGTCTGTGTGTGTGTGTGTCTCTCTGTCTCTCTGTGTGTGTCTCTCTGTGTGTGTGTCTGTGTGTGTGTCTGTGTGTGTGTGCAGGGTGGACGTGGTGCGCTACTGCATGTCTCTGTCTCTCTGTCTGTGTCTGTGTGTGTGTCTGTGTGTGTGTGTCTGTGTGTGTGTCTGTGTGTGTGTGCAGGGTGGACGTGGTGCGCTTCTGCATGTACGGCACGGTGGCGGCGTTCCTGCTGTTGGGCATCCTGCTCTTCACCGTGTCTCTCTCTGTCTCTCTGTCTCTCTGTGTGTGTCTGTGTGTGTGTGTCTGTGTGTGTGTCTGTGTGTGTGTGTCTGTGTGTGTGTCTGTGTGTGTGTGTCTGTGTGTCTGTGTGTGTGTGTCTGTGTGTGTGTGCAGGGTGGACGTGGTGCGCTTCTGCATGTACGGCACGGTGGCGGCGTTCCTGCTGTTGGGCATCCTGCTGTTCACCGAGGGCTTCTTCACGACGGGCGCCGTGCAGGGACGACACGGGGACTTCAAGACGACCGCCTGCGGGCGCTGCATCAGCGCCATGGTGACGAGCGAGCAACCACGAGCAACCACGAGCAACTACACGCAACCACGAGCAACCACGAGCAACCACGAGCAACCACGAGCAACTACGAGCAACTACACGCAACCACGAGCAACCACGATCAACCACGAACAACTACACGCAACCACGAGCAACTACGAGCAACTACACGCAACCACGAGCAACTACGAGCAACTACACGCAACCACGAGCAACTACACGCAACCACGAGCAACCACGAGCAAGCACGAGCAACTACACGCAACCACGAGCAACCACGATCAACCACGAACAACTACACGCAACCACGAGCAACTACGAGCAACTACACGCAACCACGAGCAACTACGAGCAACTACACGCAACCACGAGCAACTACACGCAACCACGAGCAACCACGAGCAAGCACGAGCAACTACACGCAACCACGAGCAACCACGATCAACCACGAGCAACTACACGCAACCACGAGCAACTACGAGCAACTACACGCAACCACGAGCAACTACGAGCAACTACACGCAACTACGAGCAACCACGAGCAACTACACGCAACCACGATCAGTTGCGATCAGATGCGATCAGATGCGATCAATCACTTTCTTTCACGTTCTATTTACCATCCAGGTGCACATCGATTGGCCAGCGTGCCGTTTACTAAATGTCGCCTTCACGCAACTGACTTCGAGTTCTCCCCGTGACGAGATTGTCACTCCGGCGCGCACCACGGGATCATCAGAGCGGAAGCTCCCGGGGGTCTCCGTGCCGTCCATCCGCCGCTGGACTTCTGTGACAAAGAGCTTCGTAGCTCTTCAGATTCCTCCTCTTGCAGTCCAAATGCTCGAGTTGGTGTTGGTGACGGTGTTGGTGGTGACGGTGTTGGTGGTGACGGTGGTGGTGGTGACGGTGTTGGTGGTGACGGTGTTGGTGGTGACGGTGTTGGTGACGGTGTTGTTGGTGACGGTGTTGGTGGTGACGGTGTTGGTGGTGACGGTGTTGGTGGTGACGGTGTTGGTGGTGACGGTGTTGGTGACGGTGTTGGTGGTGACGGTGTTGGTGACGGTGTTGGTGGTGACGGTGTTGGTGGTGACGGTGTTGGTGGTGACGGTGTTGGTGGTGACGGTGTTGGTGGTGACGGGTGGTGGTGGTGACGGTGTTGGTGGTGACGGTGTTGGTGGTGACGGTGTTGGTGACGGTGTTGTTGGTGACGGTGTTGGTGGTGACGGTGTTGGTGGTGACGGTGTTGGTGGTGACGGTGTTGGTGGTGACGGTGTTGGTGACGGTGTTGGTGGTGACGGTGTTGGTGACGGTGTTGGTGGTGACGGTGTTGGTGGTGACGGTGTTGGTGGTGACGGTGTTGGTGGTGACGGTGTTGGTGGTGACGGTGTTGGTGGTGACGGTGTTGGTGACGGTGTTGGTGGTGACGGTGTTGGTGACGGTGTTGGTGGTGACGGTGTTGGTGGTGACGGTGTTGGTGGTGACGGTGTTGGTGGTGACGGTGTTGGTGGTGACGGTGTTGGTGGTGATGGTCTTGGTGATGGTGTTGGTGGTGACGGTGTTGGTGGTGACGGTGTTGGTGGTGACGGTGTTGGTGGTGACGGTGTTGGTGGTGACGGTGATGGTGGTGATGGTGTTGGTGGTGACGGTGTTGGTGGTGACGGTGTTGGTGGTGACGGTGTTGGTGGTGATGGTGTTGGTGACGGTGTTGGTGGTGGTGATGTTGTAGTTTATCGGGCTCACCTACGTGATGGTGTTGATGGTGATGGTGTTGATGGTGTTGATGGTGTTGTTGATGATGATGGTGTTGATGGTGACGGTGTTGGTGGTGACGGTGTTGGTGGTGATGGTGTTGGTGGTGACGGTGTTGGTGGTGATGGTGTTGGTGACGGTGTTGGTGACGGTGTTGGTGGTGACGGTGTTGGTGGTGACGGTGATGGTGGTGACGGTGTTGGTGGTGACGGTGTTGGTGGTGACGGTGTTGGTGGTGACGGTGTTGGTGGTGATGGTGTTGGAGGTGACGGTGTTGGTGGTGACGGTGTTGGTGGTGACGGTGTTGGTGGTGACGGTGTTGGTGGTGATGGTGTTGGTGGTGACGGTGTTGGTGGTGATGGTGTTGGTGACGGTGTTGGTGGTGACGGTGTTGGTGGTGACGGTGTTGGTGGTGGTGACGGTGTTGGTGGTGACGGTGTTGGTGGTGACGGTGTTGGTGGTGACGGTGTTGGTGGTGACGGTGATGGTGGTGATGGTGTTGGTGGTGACGATGTTGGTGGTGACGGTGTTGGTGGTGACGGTGATGGTGGTGACGGTGTTGGTGGTGACGGTGTTGGTGGTGACGGTGTTGGTGACGGTGTTGGTGACGGTGTTGGTGGTGACGGTGTTGGTGGTGATGGTGTTGGTGACGGTGTTGGTGATGGTGTTGGTGATGTTGTAGTTTATCGGGCTCACCTACGTGATGGTGTTGATGGTGATGGTGTTGATGGTGTTGTTGATGATGATGGTGTTGATGGTGACGGTGTTGATGGTGACGGTGTTGGTGGTGACGGTGTTGGTGACGGTGTTGGTGGTGACGGTGTTGGTGGTGATGGTGTTGGTGATGGTGTTGGTGGTGGTGATGTTGTAGTTTATCGGGCTCACTTACGTGATGGTGTTGATGGTGATGGTGTTGATGGTGTTAATGGTGTTGTTGATGATGATGGTGTTGATGGTGACGGTGTTGATGGTGACGGTGTTGATGGTGTTGGTGTTGATGGTGTTGTTGATGATGGTGATGGCATTGTTGATGATGGTGATGGTGTTGATGGTGTTGTAGTTTATAGGACTCACCTACCTGCTCACGCTGCTCTGGCTGGGGGTGCTGGGGCTCGCCTACGTGATGGTATTGATGGTGATGATGGTGATGATGGTGTTGATGGTGATGATGGTGTTGATGGTGTTGATGTTGTTGTTGATGTTGTAGTTTATAGGACTCACCTACCTGCTCACGCTGCTCTGGCTGGGGGTGCTGGGGCTCACCTACGTGATGGTGTTGATGGTGTTGATGTTGTTGTTGATGTTGTAGTTTATAGGACTCACCTACCTGCTCACGCTGCTCTGGCTGGGAGTGCTGGGGCTCGCTGCGCTGCCCGTCTTCCTCACCCTCAACATCCGCGCGTCGTGCCATGCGGCGCTCACCACCTCCACCACCTCCACCACCTCCACCACCGCAGCAGCAGCAGCAGGGTCAAGCTCACCCACGGTGTGCGTTGACCTGCGCCAGTACGGTACGCCGCTAGCTCCACCGCCTCCACCGCTACCACCTCCACCACCACCTGCACCGCTACCTCCACCACCACCACTACCTCCACCACCACCTCCACCACCGCTACCACCGCCAACACCACCACCACCTCCACCACCACGTCCACCACCCCCACCATCTCCACCACCACCGCTACCAACACCACCATCGGTGATGTTGTGTTGATGGTGATGTTGTGTTGATGGTAATGTTGTGTTGATGGTGATGTTGTGTTGATGGTGATGTTGATGTTGTGTTGACGGTGATGTTGTGTTGATGGTGATGTTGTGTTGATGGTGATGTTGTGTTGATGGTGATGTTGTGTTGATGGTGATGTTGTGTTGATGGTGATGTTGTGTTGATGGTGATGTTGTGTTGATGGTGATGTTGTGTTGATGGTGATGTTGTGTTGATGGTGATGTTGTGTTGATGGTGATGTGGTGTCGTTTTGTAGGAATCCTACCATGGAACCACTCGACGGCCGTTCTGTGCGACCGAGCCCTGGAAAACATGTGCAACACGCAGGAGGTGACAGCACACAGACACTCGCTAGCACACAGACACTCGCTAGCACACAGACACTCACTAGCACACAGACACTCACTAGCACACAGACACTCACTAGCACACAGACACTCACTAGCACACAGACACTCGCTAGCACACAGACACTCACTAGTACACAGACACTCACTAGCACACAGACACTCACTAGCACACAGACACTCACTAGCACACAGACACTCACTAGCACACAGACACTCGCTAGCACACAGACACTCACTAGTACACAGACACTCGCTAGCACACAGACACTCACTAGCACACAGACACTCACTAGTACACAGACACTCGCTAGCACACAGACACTCACTAGTACACAGACACTCGCTAGCACACAGACACTCACTAGCACACAGACACTCACTAGCACACAGACACTCACTAGCACACAGACACTCGCTAGCACACAGACACTCACTAGTACACAGACACTCACTAGCACACAGACACTCACTAGCACACAGACACTCACTAGTACACAGACACTCACTAGCACACAGACACTCACTAGCACACAGACACATGCTAGCACACAGACACTCACTAGCACACAGACACACGCTGGCACAATTCGATTCCAACACCAGTGATAGCGATGATCGGAACCCGTACTGGACCTGCCCTAGGTCGACTCAGCCTCAAACGAATACCTGCTATGGATGTGGTAAACATTGCCGCTGAGGAGACAGAGTGTCAGGGCGTGGTGCTGGACATCAGAGGTCGCAAACGGGTTTTGATTCCTTACCCCCCGTACCCGGCCGCACCAGGGTCGCAAATGGGTACCCGTACCCGGCCGTACCCGTACCCGTACCCGGGTAGGGTACGGGTATCGGGTACCTGATTGCGACCTCTGGGATGAAGCCATGTTGCAGGCGCGGGTGGGTTGATTCTAGGAACTTGAATTGTGAGAAGAGACAAGACGTTGGGAAATGAGTGGCAAACAGTTACTCACCAGTGACTCACGGCCTACCCGTACCCGGCCACACCAGGGTCGCAAACGGGTACCCGTACCCGGCTGGGTACGGGTAGCCGGGTATCGGGTAGGGTACGGGTATCGGGTAGCCGTTTGCGACCCTGGTGCGGCCGGGTACGGGGGGTAAGGAATCAAAACCAGATGTAAAGCTTTCGTGACTGCAGGGATTCATCTTCTTGGTTCTTTCGGTAAAGTCACGTAGAAGGGAAATAATAAAATAATGAAAATAAAACATAATTAAATACAATTCCACGACGTTTCGGCCACAACGCAAGCAGCCGTCCTCAGGTGGAGAGCAGGTCTGTCGAGAAGACAGCGTCTGAATGACACACTCCAGGCTTGGAGCGTATATTTAAGCTGGGATGGAGGGGGAAGGGCGCCTTGACAAAATAATGTGCATATCAAGAGGAATTTAGCATATCTGCATTTCCCATAAATATGCTAAATTCCTCTTGATATGCACATTATTTTGTCAAGGCGCCCTTCCCCCTCCATCCCAGCTTAAATAGTCGCTCCAAGCCTGGAGTGTGTCATTCAGACGCTGTCTTCCCGACAGACCTGCTCTCCACCTGAGGACGGCTGCTTGCGTTGTGGCCGAAACGTCGTCAGAATTGTATTTTATTATGTTTTATTTTTATTATTTTATTATTACTTCCATTCCACGTGGCTTTACCGAAAGAACCAAGAAGACGAATCAAACCCCGTTTGTGACCTCTGCTCTGTGCGTCTCTTGTCGCAGTTCATCCTCGCCCACCACCTCTTCATCGTGGCCTACGCTGGGGCTGCCGCCACCGTCATCGCCATGGTGAGTGCCCAGACCCGCTGGTCACGTGGTGTCCAGTGGGTTTACCTCCACATTGAGAGACGTGCAGTTAGAGGATTTGGCTGCAGCTGTAGATGTCCACGTGGCGGTGAGTCACGTGGCCGGGCTGTCTATTTGTGATGGGCAGGGCGCGCTCCTGAACGGAGCTACATCGCCCAGTGAGACTTACTTGATGGAATACAAATAAATTTGATTTCGTTTAGTTTAACGGCAATCTTGCACTAACCCTAGCCAAACCTAACAGCAAGCTAACACTAATCTAACATGAACCTAATTCTAACCTAACGCTAATCTAACACTAACCCTAACCAAACCTAATACCAATCTAACACGAACCTAATTCTAACCTAACACTAACCTAACACTAATCTAACACTAACCCTAACCAAACCTAACACTAATCTAACATTAACTTAACCCCAACCTAACACCAATCTAACACTAACCTAATTCTAACCTAACGCTAACCTAATTCTAACCTAACACTAACCTAAACTAACACTAATCTAACACTAACCTAACACTAACCCTAACCAAACCTAACACCAATCTAACACTAACCTAACACTAATCTAACACTAACCTAACACTAAACTAACACGAACCATAACCTAATTCTAACCGAACGCAAACCTAACCCTAACACTGACACTTATTTGGAATAACCCTGTGAGGCATTCGGCGCTTGATTCTGGTGCAACCGCAACACACAACACAATCACAAAGATACATTTACAATGTACTCTACACAAATTGAAACATCTCCTACAAAAACAATAAAATCTTCCAGAGAAAGCGCCGTTTGTTTATGCTGCCTACAAAAATGTGCAAAAAAATCCCAGCCGGGTACGGCTACGGGTAGCCGTTTGCGACCCTGGTGCGGCCGGGTACGGGTACGGGTAGGCCGTGAGTCACTGGTGAGTCACCGTTTGTCACTCATTTCGGGTAGGGTACGGGTAGGCCGTGAGTCACTGGTGAGTCACCGTTTGCCACTCATTTCGGGTAGGGTACGGGTAGGCCGTGAGTCACTGGTGAGTCACCGTTTGTCACTCATTTCGGGTAGGGTACGGTTACGGGTAGGCCGTGAGTCACTGGTGAGTCACCGTTTGTCACTCATTTCGGGTAGGGTACGGGTACGGGTAGGCCGTGAGTCACTGGTGAGTCACCGTTTGTCACTCATTTCGGGTAGGGTACAGGTACGGGTAGCTTGTGAGTCACTGGTGAGTCACCGTTTGTCACTCATTTCGGGTAGGGTACGGGTAGGCCGTGAGTCACTGGTGAGTCACCGTTTGTCACTCATTTCGGGTAGGGTACAGGTAGGCCGTGAGTCACTGGTGAGTCACCGTTTGTCACTCATTTCGGGTAGGGTACAGGTACGGGTAGCTTGTGAGTCACTGGTGAGTCACCGTTTGTCACTCATTTCGGGTAGGGTACGGGTAGGCCGTGAGTCACTGGTGAGTCACCGTTTGTCACTCATTTCGGGTAGGGTACGGGTAGGCCGTGAGTCACTGGTGAGTCACCGTTTGTCACTCATTTCGGGTAGGGTACGGAACGGGAACCCGTACCCGGCCGGGTGCGTGTACGGGTAAGGAATCAAAACCCGTTTGCGACCTCTGCCACCCGCCCGCCCATCCCCCGTGAACAGATCCACTACCTCATGGTGCTCACGGCCAACTGGGGCTACGTGAAGACCTTCGCCGCGTCTGCCTCCTCCCCGGGGCCAGCGGCTGCCTCCTGCGGTGGCGGTGGTGGTGCCCAGCAGGCGCCGCTGGGGGCGGGAGACGCGGAGATGGGAGACCTGCACAACGGCAAGGGGCTCGCAGCCACATCCCAAGACCCCTGAGACCCCCTGGGACCCCCTCAAGGGGGTCGCCTCCCAAGACCCCTGGAACCCCCTGGAACCCCCACTAGGGGGTCACTTCCCAAGACCCCCTGAGACCCCCTCGCACCCCCACAAGGGGTCGCCTCGACCCCCGCAAGACCCCCCTGAGCCACTCGCCACGACCTCCGACCCACGAACCCCTGAAATCCCTGAGTGCTTGAGCCCCGCCCCCTGTGACCTGTGACCCTGTGACCTGTGACCCTGCGAAGGGTGCACCTCCTGGTAGCTTGACAGCGTGACCCATGACCCCTTCAACCCAGCCCTGACCCCCCTGAACCTTGACCCCCAACCTCTAACCTCCCATCAGTGTCCGTGACCTCTTACCTCCGTGACCCTGGCTACCCCCGTGAGCTGTGACCCCTGTGCTGTTGCTCAATAAGTGGTGACCTTTAACCCCTGATCCTTCTGACCCTCAGTGACCTTTCCTGTTCACTCCAGCTGTATCACCATCCCCATCACACCATCACGCCATCACACCATCATACCATCGCGATCACACCATCGCCATCACACCATCACACCATCACCATCACACCATCCCCATCACACCATCACACCATCGCCATCGCCATCACACCATCGCCATCACACCATCCCCATCACACCATCGCCATCACACCATCGCCATCACACCATCCCCATCACACCATCCCCATCACACCATCGCCATCGCCATCACACCATCGCCATCACACCATCGCCATCACACCATCACACCATCACCATCACACCATCACACCATCACACCATCCCCATCACACCATCACCATCACACCATCCCCATCACACCATCACCATCACACCATCACACCATCCCCATCACACCATCGCCATCACACTATCCCCATCACACCATCGCCATCACACCATCCCCATCACACCATCCCCATCACACCATCCCCATCACACCATCGCCATCACACCATCGCCATCACACCATCCCCATCACCATCACACCATCCCCATCACCATCACACCATCCCCATCACCATCACACCATCCCCATCACACCATCCCCATCCCCATCACACCATCCCCATCACCATCACACCATCCCCATCACCATCACACCATCCCCATCACACCATCACCATCCCCATCACACCATCGTCATCACACCATCACACCATCCCCATCACACCATCCCCATCACACCATCGCCATCACACCATCCCCATCACACCATCCCCATCACACCATCACCATCACACCACCCCCATCACACCATCACCATCACACCATCACACCATCGCCATCACACCATCGCCATCACACCATCACCATCACACCATCCCCATCACACCATCACCATCCCCATCACACCATCAGCTGTTTTGACTGCACCCACGGACGCTGCATCGATATTCGTTGTTGTCGCTGTCGAGGTTGAGTAGCCGTGGTTTTTAAACAGAGTCGTGATAGTTTACGGAATGCGTCAGAGTGCTATTAACGCCGTCTTGTATTTTTTCATAGTACCCCGAGTCCTTCCCTTGTGATGACGCTTCGACGAGCATGACAGCGAGTCCTCGCTCAGCGCGCCGATACCACCAGTGGTACCAGATAGTTTAACTTTGTTGGGCTAGATCTAGATGTTGCGTCGACACAGACAATTAGTCGATTAGCCGAGGGTTTCGATGTAAAGCTTCTTTCGTGACTGCAGGGATTCATCTTCTTGGTTCTTTCGGTAAAGTAATCACGTAGAAGGGAAGTAATAAAACAATAAAAATAAAACATAATACAATTCTCACGACGTTTCGGCCACAACGCAAGCAGCCGTCCTCAGGTGAAGAACAGGGCTGTCCTCTTGATATGCAAATTCCTTTGTCAAGGCGCTCTTCCCCCTCCAACCCAGCTTAAATATACGCTACCAAGCTTGGTGGTGTTCATTCAGACTCTGTCTTTCTGACAGACCTGTTCTTCTGAACACCACCAAGCTTGGCAGCGTATATTTAAGTATAAATTTAAGTATATACGCTGCAAAGCTTGGTGGTGCTCATTCAGACGCTGTCTTTCCGACAGACCTGTTCTTCTGAACACCACCAAGCTTGGCAGCGTATATTTAAGTATATATTTAAGTATATATTTAAGTATATACGCTGCCAAGCTTGGTGGTGCTCATTCAGACGCTGTCTTTCCGACAGACCTGTTCTTCTGAACACCACCGGGCTTGGCAGCGTATATTTAAGTTTATATTTAAGTATATATTTAAGTATATACGCTACCAAGCTTGGTGGTGCTCATTCAGACACTGTCTTTCCGACAGACCTGTTCTCCACCTGAGGACGGCTGCTTGCGTTGTGGCTGAAACGTCGTGAGAATTGTATTTTATTATGTTTTATTTTTATTATTTCCCTTCTACGTGACGACTTTACCGAAAGAACCAAGAAGAGTCAAAGGGTTTATCACGCAAACAACAAACAAGGTGCCAATGAGTTGCTAGTTCAGCACTCGCCGGTCGGTGTGTGTTGGAGAGTCAACCCACCACCACCACGGCCACATTCACACATTCGAGTAGCCGTGACGTTTCGACGGTCATCACAACAACAATTGATAATCACAACAACAGCCGGTAATTACAACAACCGGTCATCACAACAACCGCCAGTGTCATCATCAGACGACGGGATGCACGTGATGTCGTCACGTGTGACGGGATACACGTGATGACGTCACGTGTGACGTGATAGACGTGACGTCATCACTAGTGACGGGATACACGTGATGACGTCACTAGTGACGTGATACACGTGATGTCGTCACTAGTGACGGGATACACGTGATGTCGTCACTTGCAATGACGTCACCGGTGACGTGATACACGTGACGTCATCACGAGTGAGATGATCACGTGATGTCGTCACGTGTGACACGATCACGTGGGAAGAAATATAAATGACAATGGATCTCTACTATCGGTTGGGTTGATAAGTGTTTTTTTACCCTTCTATCTGGCAACAAAACTGACACCTTATTTACAAGGAGTCATGTTTGCATAGACCACAACACCTGCAGTCATAATGCAAAAAAAAACACACAACTCTGATAACGTGCACTGTCCTTGAAGTTGATTGGTCCACACCCGAGACAGCTTTCCTTAGAGCCTAGTCTCACGTGGCTTGGATCAGATGATAGAAGAGTAAAAAACAATTCATATTTTTTACTGGCAAATGAGGTTCCAATGGTGTATTGGTTGGGTAATTCACGGCTAACAAGCGTACATGGTGTACATTATGTAGCTGCTACATTATGTTAATCTGAGAGTACTACATTGACCTTCTTCTGTACCGTACGTAGCCCACCGTGATAATGCCTTGTCCGCGTATCACTCCGTATCACTCCGTATCGCTCCGTATCGCTCCGTATCACTCCGTATCGCTCCGTATCACTCCGCGTGCCGTAGCGCTGCTCCGAACCCGCGCAGCTCACGGAAAGTAGTCCCTAAAGTTGTGCGCTCAGGAACCGCGTTATCACACGGTGGACACACTTCGCGTTATAACGGCTTTAGAGTGTCGTTAGTGTCGTTAGAATGGCGTTAGAGTGTTGTTAGAGCGTTGTTAAAGTGTTGTTAAAGTGTTGTTAGAGTGTTGTTCAAGCGGCGTTAGAACGGCATTAGAGCATTGTTAGAACGGCGTTAGTGTCGTTAGAACGGCGTTAGAGTGTTGTTAGAGCGGCGTTGGAACGGCGTTGTTCAAGCGGCGTTAAAACGGCGTAAGAGTGTCGTTAGAACGGCGTTAGAGTGTTGTTAGAGTGTTGTTCAAGCGGCGTTGGAACGGCGTTAGGGCATTGCTAGAACGGCGTTAGAGTGTCGTTAGAACGGCATTAGAGTGTCGTTAGAGTGTTGTTAGAGTGTTGTTCAAGCGGCGTTGGAACGGCGTTAGGGCATTGCTAGAACGGCGTTTGAGCGTCCTGTGATGTTCGTTGCGCTGAGCGAGGACTCTTGCCGTGTGACGGTGACTCGGAGCGATGATTGTTGTCGTCGTCGTCGTCGTCGTGAAGACCACGAGGCGAGGCGAACGTGATGTGTGTCACACTCGATGAGAAAACATTCCAGCCATTTAAAAAATAAACATTGTACGCTATTTTGTGTCGTGATATTGCGCGTTTTTTTTCAAATGTCACACGCGGTTTGTTTTTAAAAGCCGTGGAAAGTTTCACAGGAATTTTTCACGCGAGAAAAAAAATATTTTTGGCTGCAGAGATTTAATCAGCGGCGATTTTAAACGATTTCAAATCGATCTTCTTGGTTCTTTCGGTAAAGTCATCACGTAGAAGGGAAGTAATAAAATAATAAAAATAAAACATAATAAAATACAATTCTCACGACGTTTCGGCCACAACGCAAGCAGCCGTCCTCAGGTGAAGAACAGGTCTGTCGGGGAGACAGCGTCTGAATGAAACACCCCAAGGCTTGGAGCGTCTATTTAAGCTGGAGTGTGTCATTCAGACACTGTCTTCTCGACAGACCTGTTCTTCACCTGAGGACGGCTGCTTGCGTTGTGGCCGAAACGTCGTGAGAATTATTTAATGTTTTATTTTTATTATTTTAGTATTTCCATTCTACGTGACTTTACCGAAAGAACCAAGAAGACCTAGAAATAGTCCTATCGGTCAGCTGCTCCAGTAGGCAAGGCTCCGTTGGCTGGGTCACATAACCCGCGTGCCCAACCACCGCATACCCAAGCAGCCTCTGTTTGGCCGCACAGAGGGGGCTAAACGGGGCGCCGTATCGGCTTGAGAAGAGATGGAGTGATGCGGCACAGGACGACGTGGAGCTGAGTGGACTTGCCTCTATGGAGGAGGCTCGTGAAGGAGGCAGTCGCCCTCCAACAACAACGGAGAGCAGAGAGGCAGCAATGCTCACAACAACGAGCGGAGCGCCGGGTGGATAAACTCCAGAAAGTTGACACAGTGAGTAGCGCAGGTGGTGTATCTGAGTCAGTCAACCCATGGCACCTGCAGGGTCTGTCCCATAACCTCCTGCGAGCCTTTGACACTTCACGTGGCGTCAGAATGCACCTGGCCTGGCACACAGCACCCTGGTGAGGTCACCGCTACTCAGTGTTGTTGTTGTTAGTGGGTTTGTGTGTTGTCGTGTGTGTTCGAGTCTTCATGTTGGTGTCACCAGAAGTCATCATCTCCGTGTGACGCCGTGTCGACACTGCAACACAACAAAGACCCCCCCACCCCGCACAGCATGTACAGACTGTTGCAGCAAGAGCTCTGAGCGAGTAGCAGCAACTACGAAGGCTGGAACAGCACACGAGGGGGTGGGTGGCCAGCACTACCCCAGTGGCGATGTTCACGACACGCCACACAGGTACTCGTTTGAGTCCGAGTCGACCTAGGGGAGGCCCACGACCGGCTCAGATAATCGTCCCTGGCGTTGGTGGTGGCCGTGAACAGAAATCGAACTTGGGTCGCCGGGTTCACAGCCAGCGCGCTAACCACTGCGCCACCGCTCCACATACCTAAGACTCACCCACCCATCGACCGACCCGCCCGCCCACCCACCCACTCACTCACCCACTCACCGACCCACTCACCTAACCACCCACTCACCGACCCACTCACCTAACCACCCACTCACCCACCCACTCACCGACCCACTCACCTAACCACCCACTCACCGACCCACTCACCTAACCACCCACTCACCCACCCACTCACCTAACCACCCACTCACCCACCCACCCACCCACTCACTCACTCACTCACCCACCCACCCACTCACCTAACCACTAATCCACCCACCCACCGACCCACTAACCCAGCCACCCACCGACCCACTCACCCACTGACCCACTCACCCACCCACCCACTCGCCCACCCACTCGCCCGCCCACCCACTCGCCCGCCCACCCACTCGCCCGCCCACCCACTCGCCCACCCGCCCACCCACTCACTCGCCCACCCATTCCCTCGCCCACCCGCCCACTCACCCCGCCCACTCACTCGCCCACCCACTCACCCACTCACTCACCCACTCACCCACCCACCCACTCACCCACCCACCCACTCACCCACTCACCCACCCACCCACTCACCCACTCACTCACTCACTCACCCACCCGCCCACCCACTCACCCGCCCACCCACTCGCCCACCCGCCCACCCACTCACTCGCCCACCCACTCGCCCGCCCACCCACTCGCCCACCCACTCACTCGCCCACCCACTCTCTCGCCCACCCACCCACCCACTCACTCGCCCACCCACTCACCCACTCACCCACCCACCCACCCACTCACCCACTCACTCACCCACTCACTCACCCACCCACTCACTCACTCACACACTCACCCACCCACTCACCCACTCACTCACTCACCCACTCACCCACCCACCCACCCACCCACTCACTCACTCACCCACCCACCCACTCACTCACACACTCACCCACCCACTCACTCACTCACTCACTCACCCACTCACCCACCCACCCACCCACCCACCCACTCCCCCACCCATCCACTAACCACCGTGACCACAGCGACACACGCAGTGAGCTGCTAGCGAGCGTCTACGCGGGTGCAGGAGACTCGGGGGGACGCGCGCCGCCTGTGTCTCACTCACCCACCCACTCACCCACCCACTCACCCACCCACCCACCCACTCACCCACCCACCCACTCACCCACCCACAAACCCACTCACCCACCCACCCACCGACCCACCCACCGACCCACTCACCCACCCACCCACCGACCCACCCACTCACTCACCCACCTACCCGCCTGTGTCTCACTCACCTGTCTCTGGAGACAACAGCCTCGCTCCCCACGGACAGGGAGCCAAGTCCGCCAGGTGGCGGTGGAGTCTGGGACAGGACACACGGGGACAAGTGGAGACACGCAGAGAGACACAGAGACACAGAAACACACGGGGACACGCGGAGACACGCAGAGAGACACAGAGACACAGAGACACACGGAGACACACGGAGACATGCAGAGAGACACAGAGACACAGAGACACACGGGGACACGCGGAGACACGCAGAGAGACACAGAGACACAGAGACACACGGAGACACGCGGAGACATGCAGAGAGACACAGAGACACAGAGACACACGGGGACAAGTGGAGACACGCAGAGAGACACAGAGACACACGGGGACAAGTGGAGACACGCAGAGAGACACAGAGACACGCAAAGACACACGGAGACACACGGGGACACTCAGAGAGACACAGAGACACGGAGACACACGGGGACAAGTGGAGACACACAGAGACACGCAGAGACACACAGAGACACGCGGAGACACACGGAGACACACAGACACACAAGGAGATACACGGAGGCACACGGAGACACACACAGACACACACACACACACGGAGACACACACAGACACACACACACACACACAGAGACACACGGAGACACGCAGAGACACACGGAGGCAACGCCAGTACTCACTTGAGACTCGCCTCTCACCATCTGCAGGTATGTGTTCATCACCTCGCTCTCCGGGAGGGTCTGGGCAACCCCTAGATCCGCGCTGGCCTGAAAAAACAAAGCTCAATTTCATCTCCATTCTCCCTATTGCTCATAGACTCAACACTGCCCATAGACTCAACACTGCCCATAGACTCAACACTGCCCATAGACTCAACACTGCACCATAGACTCAACACTACCCATAGACTCAACACTGCACCATAGACTCAACACTGCACCATAGACTCAACACTGCCCATAGACTCAACACTGCCCATAGACTCAACACTGCACCATAGACTCAACACTGCTCATAGACTCAACACTGCCCATAGACTCAACACTGCCCATAGACTCAACACTGCCCATAGACTCAACACTGCCCATAGACTCAACACTGCCCATAGACTCAACACTGCCCATAGACCCAACACTGCCCATAGACTCAACACTGCCCATAGACTCAACACTGCCCATAGACTCAACACTGCACCATAGACTCAGCACTGCCCATAGACTCAACACTGCCCATAGACTCAACACTGCCCATAGACTCAACACTGCCCATAGACTCAACACTGCCCATAGACTCAACACTACCCATAGACTCAACACTGCACCATAGACTCAGCACTGCCCATAGACTCAACACTGTCCATAGACTCAACACTACCCATAGACTCAACACTACCCATAGACTCAACACTACCCACAGACTCAACACTACCCATAGACTCAACACTACCCATAGACTCAATACTGCCCATAGACTCAACACTGCCCATAGACTCAACACTGCCCATAGACTCAACACTGCACCATAGACTCAGCACTGCCCATAGACTCAACACTGCCCATAGACTCAACACTGCCCATAGACTCAACACTGCCCATAGACTCAACACTACCCATAGACTCAACACTGCACCATAGACTCAGCACTGCCCATAGACTCAACACTGCCCATAGACTCAACACTGTCCATAGACTCAACACTGCCCATAGACTCAACACTGTACCATAGACTCAACACTGCCCATAGACTCAACACTGCCCATAGACTCAACACTACCCATAGACTCAACACTGCCCATAGACTCAACACTGCCCATAGACTAACACTGCCCATAGACTCAACACTGCCCATAGACTCAACACTGCCCATAGACTCAACACTGCCCATAGACTAACACTGCCCATAGACTCAACACTGCACCATAGACTCAACACTGCACATAGACTCAACACTGCACATAGACTCAACACTGCACATAGACTAAACACTGCCCATAGACTCAACACTGCAGCATAGACTCAACACTGCCTATAGACTAACACTGCCCATAGACTCAACACTGCCCATAGACTAAACACTGCCCATAGACTCAACACTGCCCATAGACTCACCCTGCCCATAGACTCAGCACTGCCCATAGACTCAACACTGCCCAGAGACTAGCATTGCTCATAGACTTACAATGCTCCAGACATGTTTCTGTAAATCAATGTTGTAATTGTTATTGATCAGTCGACACAATCTGCCTGAGCCGATTTACACGACAGGGTTTTTAACATTGATTCATGTTCGTGCAAAATGTTCCATTGGTCATGTGATACACACACCCACTCATCCACCCACTTACTCACCCACCCACTCACCCACCCACTCACCCTCCCATTCACCCACCCACTCACCCACCGACTCACCCACCGACTCACCCACCCACTTACTCACACAACCACTCACCTACCCACTCACCCACCCAGTCATCCACTCACTCACCAACTCTTCCATTCACCCACTCACCCACCTAACCACACACCCAAACACCCACTCACTCTCCCACCTAACCACATACTCAAACACTCACTCACTCACTCACCCACCTAACCACGCACCCAAACATCCACCCACTCACTCACCCACCTGACCATGCACCCAAACACCCACCCACTCACTCACCCACCTCACCACACACCCACCTACCCACTCACCCACCTCACCACACACCCACCTACCCACTCACCCACCTGACCACACACCCACCTGACCACACACCCACCTACCCACCCACTCACTCACCCACCTACCCACACACCCACCTACCCACTCACTCTCCCACCTCACCACACACCCACCTACCCACTCACTCTCCCACTGATCCACTCGGCCGCTCACTCACCTCTGCCAGGGGCTGTGGTCCACTGCTGCTGCTACCGCCCCGCATCTCAGTGTCAGCTGAGAACCACGTCACACATACACAGTCTCATTACACACACACACAGTCTCATTACACACACACACAGTAGTGTTACACACACACAGTCTCATTACACACACACACACAGTAGTGTTACACACACACACACACAGTAGCGCTACACACACACAGTATCGTTACACAGACACACACAGTAGCGTTACACACACACACACAGTAGCGTTACACACACACACAGTAGCGTTACACACACACACACAGTAGCATTACACACACACACACACACAGTAGCGTTACACACACACACTGTCTCCTTGCCAGCGGGCCTTCGACAATTCATGCCTCAAAGTGCACCCAGCCTGGCACAAGTGCTGTGGTGACGTCATCGTCGGCACGTGTGCTCTCACCTGCACGGGAGGAGCCGCCTGATTGGTCGAGAGCGGGTGGTTCGGCGCCATCCAATCGGTCGCCTGCGTTATGCGGCCCGCCATCTGCCTGGTCCCCGTCGACGCGGATGCTGCGATCCGATTGGTCGACGGCAAGGCGAACAACGCCATCCGATTGGTCGCGACGCGATTGAATGTGGTCGTGACGATCGCTCCGCTCCGATTGGTCGAGCGAGCGTTGGTTTTCACCGCCGCCAGGGGTGATAGGGCAGTCCATCCGGATGTCCTCCACCTCCTCCTCCTCCACCTCCTCCACCACCTCCTCCACCTCCACCTCCTCCACCACCTCCTCCACCTCCACCACCTCCTCCCCCTCTCCATCTATCTCCACGCTCCGTCTCTCTCTCTCTCGTCCGTGTCTCCCCTCCTGTCCCCGTGTGCCCAGTCCCACGTTCCCCTGGGCCTGGGCTGCATCGTCTGTATCCCAACCGTGCATCTCCATCCGTGTCTGTAGCCCCGGCTCCTGCCTCTCTATTCCTGCCTGTCTCTCTCGTCCTGTCTGTCCATCTAGTCCCTTGTCTCTCTCTCGGCCTGTCTGTCTCCATGTCTCTCTCTCTACCCCTGTCTGTCCATCTAGTCCCATGTCTCTCTCTCTCCATGTCTCTCTCTCTATCACTGTCTCTCTCTCTCGTCCTGTCTGTCCATCTAGTCCCTTGTCTCTATCTAGTCCTGTCTGTCTCCACGTCTCTCTGTCTCTCTGTCTCCATGTCTCTCTCTCTGGTCCTGATGTCTCTCTCTCTGTCCCTGTCTGTCCATCTAGTCCCATGTCTCTCTCTCTCCATGTCTCTCTCTCTGTCCCTGTATTGTGTCTCCCCATCACTATCCTGTCCATCTCGAGCCCTCTCTCTCTCTCCGTCCCTGTTGTCCATGTCCCTATCCCCGTCTCGTCTCTCTCTAACCACGCGGCCGCCATCCCCGTGTCCCTCTCCTCCCCGCGTCTCTCCCCTCCCACGCCCTCGGCCCGAGCTCCCAGCCCCAGGTCCCATCTCCCTCCCCCTCTCCCTGTCCACACGCTGGTGGTGCGCTGGTGGTGCTGGTGGCGGTGGAGATGGTGGCCCCGCTGTGATGCAAAGTTAAGTTGAACGACACCAATCTCAATTTTGGAGCTTTCGTGACTGCAGGAATTATTCTTTGGTTCTTTCGGTAAAGTCACGTATAAAGATAAAATAATACATTAAATAATAGCATACTACGACGTTTCGATTGCAACACAAACAATCATCATCAGGCATAAAAGAAATAGCAACAAAAATCTAAGCAGAAAACTATAGACAGACACACAAGCAGACAGACATCACAAAGACACACAGAGAGAGAACACGTATCGGCAGAAAGTTCTCTCTCTGTGTGTCTTTGTGATGTCTGTCTGCTTGTGTGTCTGTCTATAGTTTTCTGGTTAGATTTTTGTTGCTATTTCTTTTATGCCTGATGACGATTGCTTGTGTTGCAATCGAAACGTCGTAGTATGCTATTATTTAATTTATTATTTTATCTTTATACGTGACTTAACCGAAAGAACCAAAGAATAAGTGAACGACACCGTTGGTCCATTGGAGGACGCGAGACCCACGTGGTTCACTGAGAATGACCTCAAACACGTGGAATTCCATCACTTCCAAAAGAAGGGAGCTCCTGGCCACACGTTAACGACAGCTCAAACGAGTGGCACAGATCAACATCATCATCACGGGGACATTGATAGCAGCAGCCATAGACTTACACAGAGTCGTAGATTAACAGCGAGATCCATAGACTCACCACACAGAGACCCATAGACTCAACATTGCCCAGACTCACCACACAGAGACCCACAGACTCACCACACAGAGACCCACAGACTCACCACACAGAGACCCACAGACTCACCACACAGAGACCCACAGACTCACCACACAGAGACCCACAGACTCACGACACAGAGACCCATAGACTCACCACACAGAGACCCACAGACTCACCACACAGAGACCCACAGACTCACCACACAGAGACCCACAGACTCACCACACAGAGACCCACATACTCACCACACAGAGACCCAAAGACTCACCACACAGAGACCCACAGACTCACCACACAGAGACCCACAGACTCACGACACAGAGACCCACAGACTCACCACACAAAGACCCACAGACTCACCACACAAAGACCCACAGATTCACCACACAAAGACCCACAGACTCACCACACAGAGACCCACAGACTCACCACACAGAGACCCACAGACTCACCACACAGAGACCCACAGACTAACCACACAAAGACCCACAGACTCACCACACAGAGACCCACAGAATCACCACACAGAGACCCATAGTCTCACCACACAGAGACCCACAGACTCACCACACAAAGACCCACAGACTCACCACACAGAGACCCACAGACTCACCACACAAAGACCCACAGACTCACCACACAGAGACCCACAGACTCACCACGCAGAGACCCACAGACTCACCACACAGAGACCCACAGACTCACCACACAGAGACCCATAGACTCACCACACAGAGACCCACAGACTCACCACGCAGAGACCCACAGACTCACCACGCAGAGACCCACAGACTCACCACACAGAGACCCACAGACTCACCACGCAGAGACCCACAGACTCACCACACTGAGACCCACAGACTCACCACACAGAAACCCACAGACTCACCACGCAGAGACCCACAGACTCACCACACAGAGACCCACAGACTCACCACACAGAGACCCACAGACTCACCACGCAGAGACCCACAGACTCACCACACTGAGACCCACAGACTCACCACACAGCGACCCACAGACTCACCACGCAGAGACCCACAGACTCACCACACTGAGACCCACAGACTCACCACACAGCGACCCACAGACTCACCACACAGAGACCCACAGACTCACCACACAAAGCACCATAGACTCAACATTGCCCACAGACTCAACGCTGAGACAAACACATAGAGGAGGAGGAGGCTGTAGGTCTGCTCTAGACCAATCAGTTGCAGGGACAATTCTTGCATTATGATCAGAGCGTGTTTATTTGCACGCTTTAACTACAAGATTTGTGGTTAACGCAGACAACATGATGATGATGATGATAATGATGATTCCTCGTAGCGGTAATCATTACACTGGTCAACAAATAAAACCCATTTTTTTATGGCCTGGACTTTTGCAGCTGTTCTAGACTAATTTCAGGGTGCCGATTCCAAATCTGATCTCAGATTTGCTCTATCACACCTCATTTTTAAATCCTTTATATTAAGTTCACTTGCTTGCTTGCTTGCGCGCTTACGACCGTGCAAATCTTTCGGTCGTTGTTTAACCCACTTCCCGTGATCCAATCGAGCTGACATTTTGCACACAGACTCGTTGTGCGTGACAATTTATTTTCGTGAAAAAAAATGTCCAACATTTTACACTTTTTAGGAAAAAAAAAATTTCATATTTAATAAAAATGAAACGCTTACTCAAGAAAAACAGAAATTAATAATAAAATAAAACCGATGCCACGCATATAAAGGTTTTATAGTGAAAAACTTTGTTTTTACGGGTTAATTTTTTATGCTATCGGCATACCCCATTTTCATTGATTTTACCCCAAATTAACTCTGTCACTTATGATTGCAAGTTGTTGCGAGTCAGTGACTGCTTTAGTGTTAAAATATGGTGCTGTATTTTTTAGGATAGTGTGTTTAATATAATTTTATGTAGATATCCACATTTATTTAGTATTTTTCATCCGCAGTTTTGATTGAAAATGCAATATTTGATATCTCAAAAACCTGATGTGATAGACAAAAACTGATGCCAGATTTGGAATCGGCACCCCCAAAAATTACCTTAAAACCGTTGGAATACCTCATGCCAGAACAAGTGTGTTGACCAGTGTTATCAGTGTATATTAGCTGTCGGAACATCTCAGCACCTCCTGCGGTGTTATTCTAGCCGGAAAGTTGTATAACAAAGCCCCTCAATTTCCGCATCAAGCGAGCGTTCTAACTCACGTCCGCCGACGACGACGGCGGCGATGACGACGATGATGGGATGAGGATATCTGTTTGGGCGAAGCTCGTAGCGGCGGTGGCGGCGTTTGTAGCGCAGCGCCTGTAGGTGTTATTCTTGCCGGAAAGTTGTATAACAAAGCCCCTCAATTTCCGCATCAAGCGTGCGTTCTAACTCACGTCCGCCGATGACGACGGCAGCGATGACAACGATGGGATGAGGATATCTGTTTGGGCGAAGCTCGTAGCGGTGGCGGTGGCGTTTGTAGCGCAGCGCCTGTAGGCGTCCTCCAGGCTGAGGGCCTGAAGCTCCAGCTGTCGCACGCGCCGCTGAGACTCGGCCAGGAAGTCCGGAGATGGAGAGCGCGCGAGGCGGGGTGGAGGAGGTGGAGGTGGGGGTGGTGATCGTGGACCTCCGGCTGATGGAGGAGGAGGTGGAGGTGGGGGTGGAGGAGGAGTGATGTGAGGAAAGACGGAGAGGGAGGGGCGTGTGAGTGAGCGTGTGGGTGAGCATGTGAGTGAGCGTGTGTGTGTGTGACGTGTGTGTGTGTGGGTAAGCGTGCAGGTGAGAGTGCGGGTGAGCGTGTGGGTGAGCGTGTGGGTGAGAGTGTGGGTGAGCGTGTGTGTGTGGGGGTGAGTGAGTGAGCGTGTGTGTGTGACGTGTGTGTGTGACGTGTGAGTGAGTGGGTGGGTGAGCGTGTGGGTGAGCGTGTGGGTGAGCATGTGAGTGAGCGTGTGTGTGACATGTGTGTGTGTGGGTGAGCGTGCGGGTGAGCGTGCGGGTGAGCGTGTAGGTGTGCGGGTGAGCGTGTGGGTGAGCGTGGGGTGAGCGTGGGGGTGAGCGTGGGGGTGAGCGTGGGGTGAGCGTGGTACCTGTGAGCGTGTGTGGGTGACGTGTGGGTGAGCGTGTGGGTGAGCGTGGGGTGAGCGTGGTACCTGTGAGCGTGTGTGTGTGACGTGTGGGTGAGCGTGTGGGTGAGCGTGTGGGTGAGCGTGGGGTGAGCGTGTGGGTGAGCGTGGTACCTGTGAGCGTGTGTGTGTGTGTGTGACGTGTGGGTGAGCGTGTGGGTGAGCGTGGGGTGAGCGTGTGTGTGTGAGTGAGTGAGCGTGTGGGTGAGCGTGTGTGTGTGAGTGAGTGAGCGTGTGTATGTGACGTGTGTGTGTGACGTGTGAGTGAGTGGGTGGGTGAGCGTGTGGGTGAGCGTGTGGGTGAGCGTGTGGGTGAGTGTGGTACCTGTGAGCATGTGGGTGAGAGTGCGGGTGAGCGTGGGGTGAGCGTGCGGGTGAGCGTGTGGGTGAGCGTGGTACCCGTGAGCGTGATCTGCCTCTCCAGCAGCTGGTTGTGTTCCTGCTGGAGTCGCAGCTCCTTCCTCAGAGTCGACATCCGCTCCACCTACTCCGGAGAGGAGGAGAGAGGGACTGGTGGGTGGGTGGGTGAGTGGGTGGGTGGGTGAGTGGGTGGGTGGGTGGGTGGGTGGGTGGGTGAGTGGGTGGGTGGGTGGGTGGGTGAGTGGGTGGGTGGGTGAGTAAGTGAGTGGGTGAGTAAGTGAGTGGGTCAGTGAGTGGGTGAGTGGGTGAGTGTGTGGGTGAGTGAGTGAGTGGGTGGGTGAGTGGCTGAGTGAGTGAGTGGGTGAGTGAGTAGGTGAGTGAGTGAGTGAGTGGGTGAGTGAGTAGGTGAGTGAGTGAGTGGGTGAGTGAGTGGGTGGGTGGCTGAGTGAGTGGGTGGTGAGCTGAGTGAGTGTGAGTGGCTGAGTGAGTGGGTGGGTGAGTGAGTGGCTGAGTGAGTGAGTGAGTGGGTGAGTGGTTGAGTGAGTAAGTGGGTGAGTGAGTGGCTGAGTGAGTGAGTGGGTGAGTCACCTGTGAGTCCGAGTCCCGCTGCCGTGCGAGTCTTTGCCGTGAGGTCTCCTCTCTCGCCGCGTTGAGCTCCGTCTCCAGACGCAGCACGGCTCCCCGCAGACCTGCCAGCACGGCAACCACACGGGACGATACCTCACTCACTACTCACTCACTCACTACTCACCCACTCACTCACTCAACTACTCACTCACTCACCTACTCACCCACTCACTCACCTACTCACTCACTCACTCACCTACTCACCCACTCACTCACCTACTCACTCAACTACTCACTCACTCAACTACTCACTCACCTACTCAACTACTCACTCACCCACTCACTCACTCAACTACTCACTCACCTACTCAACTACTCACTCACCTACTTAACTACTCACTCACCTACTCAACTACCCACTCACCTACTCAACTACTCACTCACCTACTCACCTACTCACTCACCTACTCACTCACCCACTCACTCACTCAACTACTCACTCACCTACTCAACTACTCACTCACCCACTCACTCACTCAACTACTCACTCACCTACTCAACTACTCACTCACCTACTCAACTACTCACTCACCTACTCAACTACTCACTCACCTACTCAACTACTCACTCACCTACTCACCTACTCACTCACCCACTCACTCACTCAACTACTCACTCACTCAACTACTCACTCACCTACTCAACTACTCACTCACCCACTCACTCAACTACTCACTCACCTACTCAACTACTCACTCACCTACTCAACTACTCACTCACCTACTCAACTACTCACTCACCTACTCAACTACTCACTCACCCACTCACTCACTCAACTACTCACTCACCTACTCAACTACTCACTCACCTACTCAACTACCCACTCACCTACTCAACTACTCACTCACCTACTCACCTACTCACTCACCTACTCACTCACCCACTCACTCACTCAACTACTCACTCACCTACTCAACTACTCACTCACCCACTCACTCACTCAACTACTCACTCACCTACTCAACTACTCACTCACCTACTCAACTACTCACTCACCTACTCAACTACTCACTCACCTACTCAACTACTCACTCACCTACTCACCTACTCACTCACCCACTCACTCACTCAACTACTCACTCACTCACACTCACAGAAACTACTCAACTACTCACTCACACTCACAGAAACTCACTCAACTACTCACTCACCTACTCAACTACTCACTCACCTACTCAACTACTCACTCACCTACTCAACTACTCACTCACCTACTCAACTACTCACTCACACTCACAGAAACTCACTCAACTACTCACTCACCTACTCAACTACTCACTCACCTACTCAACTACTCATTCACCTACTCAACTACTCACTCACCTACTTAACTACTCACTCACCTACTCACCTACTCACTCACTCACTCAACTACTAACTCACTCAACTACTCACTCACCTACTCACCTACTCACTCACCCACTCACTCACTCAACTACTCACTCACTCAACTACTCACTCACCTTCACAGAAACTCACTCAACTACTCACTCACCCTCACAGAAACTCACTCAACTACTCACTCACCTACTCAACTACTCACTCACCTACTCAACTACTCACTCACCTACTCAACTACTCACTCACCTACTCAACTACTCACTCACCTACTCACCTACTCACTCACCTACTCACTCACCCACTCACTCACTCACTCAACTACTCACTCACCTACTCAACTACTCACTCACCCACTCACTCACTCACTCAACTACTCACTCACCTACTCAACTACTCACTCACCTACTCAACTACTCACTCACCTACTCACTCACCTACTCACTCACCCACTCACTCACTCAGCTACTCACTCACCTACTCAGCTACTCACTCACCTACTCACCTACTCACTCACCTACTCACTCACCCACTCACTCACTCAACTACTCACTCACCTACTCAACTACTCACTCACCTACTCACCTACTCACTCACCCACTCACTCACTCAACCACTCACCCACCCACCTACTCACTCACCCACTCACTCACCTACTCAACTACTCACCCATTCACTCACTACTCACTCACTCACCTACTCACCCACTCACTCACCTACTCACTCACCCACTCACTCACTCAACTACTCACTCACCTACTCAACTACTCACTCACCTACTCAACTACTCACTCACCTACTCAACTACTCACTCACCTACTCACCTACTCACTCACCTACTCACTCACCCACTCACTCACTCACTCAACTACTCACTCACTCAACTACTCACTCACCTACTCAACTACTCACTCACCTACTCACTCAACTACTCACTCACCTACTCAACTACTCACTCACCTACTCAACTACTCCCTCACCTACTCAACTACTCACTCACCTACTCACCTACTCACTCACCCACTCACTCACTCAACTACTCACTCACCTACTCAACTACTCACTCACCTACTCAACTACTCACTCACCTACTCACCTACTCACTCACCTACTCACTCACCCACTCACTCACTCAACTACTCACTCACCTACTCAACTACTCACTCACCTACTCACCTACTCACTCACCTACTCACTCACCCACTCACTCACTCAGCTACTCACTCACCTACTCAACTACTCACTCACCTACTCAACTACTCACTCACCTACTCACCTACTCACTCACCTACTCACTCACCCACTCACTCACTCAACTACTCACTCACCTACTCACCTACTCACTCACCCACTCACTCACTCAACTACTCACTCACCTACTCAACTACTCACTCACCTACTCACCTACTCACTCACCCACTCACTCACTCAACCACTCACCCACTCACCTACTCACTCACCCACTCACTCACCTACTCAACTACTCACCCACTCACTCACTCACTACTCACTCACTCACCTACTCACCCACTCACTCACCTACTCACTCACCCACTCACTCACTCACTCAACTACTCACTCACCTACTCAACTACTCACTCACTCACTACTCACCCACTCACTCACCCACTCACTCACCCACTCACTCACTCAACTACTCAACTACTCACTCACTCACTACCTCACTCAACCACTCACTCACTCAACTACTCACTCACCCATTCACCCACTCACTCAACTACTCACTCACCTACTCAACTACTCACCCACTCAACCGCTCACTCACTCACCTACTCACCCACTCACTCACCTACTCACTCACCCACTCACTCACTCAACTACTCACTCACCTACTCAACTACTCACTCACCTACTCACCCACTCACTCACTCACTACCTCACTCACTCACTCACTACCTCACTCACTCAACCACTCACCCACTCACTCAACTACTCACCAACTCATTCACTCACTACCTCACTCAACCACTCACCCACTCACTCACCCACTCACCCACCCACTCACCCACCCACTCACCCACTCACTCACTCACTCACCAACTCAACCACTCACTCACTCACCCACTCACTCACTCACTCACCAACTCAACCACTCACTCACCCCATGCTCACTCACCCACCCACTCACCCACTCACTCACCCACTCACCCACTCACTCACCCACTCACTCACTCACCCACTCACTCACCAACTCACCCATTGACTCACCCCACACCCCATGCTCACCTTCCCTCTCCTCCTCCCATCTCCTCGTTGCCACGGCGACTGCCTCCTCCCCCCTCCTCGTTGCCACGGCGACTGCCTCCTCCCCCCTCCTTGTTGCCACGGCGATGGTCTCTTCACCTTTCCTCGTCGCCGTTTGGACCGCCTCCCTCGCCTCCGCCAGCTCAGCCTGTAAAGTCGTTGCCACGGCAACGAGACAGCCATACTTCACCACCTGGGTACCTCACGACACGCCCAGGGGCACCCCCAGTGACAGCTGCCCCTTTGGATTCGTCTGGGGGGTGAGGAGGTGGGGAGGGGGTGGTGAGGAGTGGGTGGTGGTGACATGGTGAGGAGGAGTGGGTGGTGGTGAGGAGGTGGGGAGGGGGGGTGAGGAGGTGAGGTGGTGACATGGTGAGGAGGTGGTGAGGGGGTGGTGAGGTGAGGAGGAGGAGTGGGTGGTGAGGTGGTGGTGGTGAGGAGTGGGTGGTGAGGAGGTGAGGTGAAGGCGTGGGTGGTGGTGTGGAGATGGTGGTGAGGTGGAGGTGGTGGTGAGGAGTGGGTGGTGGTGAGGTGGTGGTGGTGAGGAGTGGGTGGTGAGGAGTGGGTGGTGGTGAGGTGGTGGTGGTGAGGAGTGGGTGGTGAGGAGTGGGTGGTGGTGAGGTGGTGGTGGTGAGGAGTGGGTGGTGAGGAGTGGGTGGTGGTGAGGTGGTGGTGGTGAGGAGTGGGTGGTGAGGAGTGGGTGGTGGTGAGGTGGTGGTGGTGAGGAGTGGGTGGTGAGGAGTGGGTGGTGGTGAGGAGTGGGTGGTGGTGGTGAGGAGTGGGTGGTGGTGAGGAGTGGGTGGTGACGAGTGGGTGGTGAGGAGTGGGTGGTGAGGAGTGGGTGGTGAGGAGTGGGTGGTGGTGAGGTGGTGGTGGTGAGGAGTGGGTGGTGAGGAGTGGGTGGTGGTGAGGTGGAGGTGGTGAGGAGTGGGTGGTGAGGAGTGGGTGGTGGTGAGGTGGTGGTGGTGAGGAGTGGGTGGTGAGGAGTGGGTGGTGGTGAGTGAGTGGGTGGTGAGGAGTGGGTGGTGAGTGGGTGGTGAGTGAGTGGGTGGTGAGGAGTGGGTGGTGGTGAGGAGTGGGTGGTGGTGAGGTGGTGGTGGTGGTGAGTAGGTGGTGAGTAGGTGAGTGGTGAGTGATGGTGAGTGATGGTGGTGAGTACCTGGAGGTGAGTGATGGTGGAGCGAGCCTCCTGCAGCTGCTGGAGTTGCTTCTGGGTTTCCCGGTCGGACGCTACAAAGACAAAGACGCCCATGTAGCCTCAACAGACTGCTGGGGCAAGTGCTGTTAGAAGCGAGTAGCACCTAACACAGACACAAAGATACGTGCGTAGACACAGACACGCACAGACACAGACTAACACACAGACACACTGATACACACAGACACAGTGACACACACACACACACAGTGACACACACGTGACACACACTCTCCACCTGCCAGCCTCTCCTCCCGCTGGGCGAGTCGGAGATTTCGCTCCTGAAATTCCTGCTGCACTTTCACCTCGTGCCTGCAAAGACAAAGGTCCCCCATGTAGCCTTCACAGATTGCTGCGGCAAGTGCTCTTAGTAGCGAGTAGCAGCCAACACAGACACACACAGACAAAGACACACACACACAAACTCACAACAATAACCGACATTCGCCACTAAGTGGCGGTGACGTCACCACGACGCTTGTGCCAGGCTATGTGCACCTTGAGGCCACGTGAAGTGTCGAACGCCCGCTGGCAGGAGGTCACGGGGCAGACCCAGCAGGTGCCACGGGTCGACTGACCGAGATGACCGAGATGACTGGCTGATGCACCACCTGTGCCCCCTACTGTACCAACTTGCTGTGCTTTAGCCACCCGGCGCTCCGCTCGTTGTTGTGAGCGTCGCTCCTCCGCCCTCCGTTGTTGTTGGAGGGCGACTGCCTCCAACTGCCCAGTAGCGTCCTTCACGAGCCTCCTCCACCGAGGCCGATCTTGGCACCGCTGGTACCATTCATCGGCAAGTCCACTCAGCTCCACGTCCTCCTGTACCACATCACTCCATCTCTTCTCTAGCCCGTGCCGCGCCCGTTTAGCCCCCTCGATCCGGCCGAACAAAAGCTGTTTAGGCATGCGGTGGCTGGGCATGCGGGCTACATGACCCAGCCAATGCAGCCTTGCCTGCCGGAGGAGCTCACCGATGGGACTTTGACCAGATCTTTCAAGGATTTGTGAGCTCCTCACACAATCCAGCCTGGTTAAACCCAGGTTGGATCGTAGGCAGGCCAGCCTAAATGTTTCCAACCGGTGAAGATGTTCCATTAGGGGGGTCCACGTTTCACAAGCGTAGAGAAGGGAGGGAATGACCGTGGCCGAGAAGACCCGAAGCTTCGTGCAGAGCGACAGACCAGGTAGCTTCCACACAGCGTTACGCAACCGATGAAAAGATATTGCCGCTCGACTGATTCGGAGTGAGACCTCTGCTGTGAAACTGGAGACTCACACACACACAGACACAGATACACATAGAGACACACACAGACTCACACACACACACAGATACACACAAAGACACACACAGACACAGACTCACACACACACAGATACACATAGAGACACACACAGACACAGACTCACACACACACAGATACACACAAAGACACACACAGACACAGACTCACACACACACAGATACACACAAAGACACACACAGACACAGACTCACACACACACAGATACACACAAAGACACACACAGACACAGACTCACACACACACAGACAGATACACACAAAGACACACACAGACTCACACACACACACACAGACAGATACACACAAAGACACACACACACACACAGACACACACACACAGACACACACACACACAGACAGATAGGGGTGGGGGGGGGTGACCCACGCCAGCTTGTGCTGCTGGAGTCGGAGGGAGAACGTCTCCTCCAGGGCGATGGCCGCCGCCTCCCGCTCCCCGAGTCTCCCCTCGGCGCTCTGCACCCGCCGCTCCCTCTCACTCAGGGCGCTGCCCGCAGCGCGTCCGTCACACAGACGGGGAGGGAGGGGGGGAGGGGAGAGAGGGAGGGACAGAGCCGTGGGGTTAGACGTTTCGTTCCAGACACAGATGATTTCTCAGCCTCCCCTCGGCGCTCCGCACCCGCCGCTCCCTCTCACTCAGGGCGCTGCCCGGAGCTCGGCACCGCAGGTGACGCGTCCGTCACACAGACGGGGAGGGAGGTGAGGGGAGGGAGGTGAGGGAGGTGAGGGAGGGTGGTGAGGGAGGGAGGGGGGAGGGAGGGGAGGGAGGTGAGGGAGGGAGGGGAGGGAGGTGAGGGAGGGAGGGGAGGGAGGGGAGGGAGGTGAGGGAGGGAGGGGAGGTGAGGGGAGGGAGGGAGGGGAGGTGAGGGGAGGGAAGGAGGGAGGGGAGGGAGAGAGGGAGGGAGGGAGGGAGGGAGGGAGGGAGGGGAGGGGAGGGGAGGGGAGGGGAGGGAGGTGAGGGGAGGGAGGGGAGGGAGGGACAGAGCCGTGGGGTCAGACGTCTCGTTTCAGACACAGATGATTTCTCTTTAAAGACAATTTTATTTCAGAGGCCACCACCACTCACTACCACCACCACCACCTCCCACTCACTCAGCACCACCACCACCCCCCCACTCACTCACTCACCACCACCACCACTCACACCACCACCACCACCACCACCCCACTCACTCACCACCCCACTCACTCACCACCACCACTCACTCACCACCACCACCACCACTCACACACCACCACCACCACCACCCCCCACTCACTCACTCACCACCACCACCACCACCACCCCCCACTCACTCACTCACCACCACCACCACCACCACCCCACTCACTCACTCACCACCACCACCACCACCCCCCCACTCACTCACTCACCACCACCACCACCACCCCCCCACTCACTCACCACCACCACCACCACTCACACACCACCACCACCACCACCACCACCCCACTCACTCACCACCCCACTCACTCACCACCACCACTCACTCACCACCACCACCACCACCACCACTCACACACCACCACCACCACCCCCCACTCACTCACTCACCACCACCACCACCCCCCCACTCACTCACTACCACCACCACCACCACCCCCCCACTCACTCACTCACCACCACCACCACCACCCCCCCACTCACTCACCACCACCACCACCACCACTCACCACCACCACCACCACTCACACACCACCACCACCACCACCACCACCACCCCACTCACTCACCACCCCACTCACTCACCACCACCACCACCACCCCACTCACTCACTCACCACCTCACTCACTCACCACCACCACCACCACTCACCACCACCACCCCACTCACGCACCACCACCACCCCACTCACTCACTCACTCACCACCACCACCACCCCACTCACTCACCACCAGCTCACTCACTCACTCACCACCACCACCACCCCCCCACTCACTCACCACCACCACCCCACTCATGCACCACCACCACCACCACCACCCCACTCACTCACTCACTCACCACCACCACCACCCCCACCCACTCACGCACCACCACCACCACCCACCCACTCACCACCACCATCACCCCACTCACGCACCACCACCACCACTCACTCACACACCACCCCCCCCCCCCCCACTCACGTGTCCGTGTTCTGCACGTGGAGTTGGTGCTGCGCCTCTCGCGCCCTCAGAGTCTCGGCTTCTCTCAGCAGCGTCTGCCTCTCCTGGTACAGCGCCCGCTCCTCATCCTGGTTACACGCAACACACACGCAACACACACGCAACACACACGCAACACACACGCAACACACACACTCTGTGTGATGAATCTATAGAGTCTCTGTGTGGTGAGTCTGTGGGTCTCTGTCTGGTGAGTCTGTGGGTCTTTGTGTGGTGAGTCTGTGGGTCTCTGTGTGGTGAGTCTGTGGGTCTCTGTCTGGTGAGTCTATGGGTCTCTGGGTGGTGAGTCTCTGGATCTCTGTGTGATGAGTCTATTAGTCTCTGTGTGGTGAGTCTGTGGGTCTCTGTGTGGTGAGTCTGTGGGTCTCTGTGTGGTGAGTCTGTGGGTCTCTGTGTGGTGAGTCTGTGGGTCTGTGTGTGGTGAGTCTGTGGGTCTCTGTGTGGTAAGTCTGTGGGTCTGTGTCGTGAGTCTGTGGGTCTCTGTGTGATGAGTCTATGGGTCTCTGTGTGGTGAGTCTGTGGGTCTGTATGTGCCAGTCATCTCGGTCATCTCGGTCAGTCGACCCGTGGCACCTGCTGGGTCTGCCCCGTGACCTCCTGCCAGCGGGCGTTCGACACTTCACGTGGCAGCCTCAAGGTGCACATGGCCTGGCACAAGCGTTGTGGTGACATCACCGCCACTTAGTGGCGAATGGCGGTTGTTGTTGTTGTGTGTGTGTCAGTGTGTGTGTGTGTTACTGTGTGTGTCTGTCTGTGTCTGTGTGTGTGCGAGTGTCAGTGTGTGCGAGTGTCAGTCTGTGTGTGTGTCTGTGTGTGTGTCTGTGTGTGTCAGTGTGTGTGTGTCTGTGTCTGTGTCACTGTGTGTGTCTGTGTGCGTGTGTGTCACTGTGTGTGTGTGCGAGTGCTGCGTGTGTCAGTGTGTGTGTGTGTCACTGTGTGTCACTGTGTGTCAGTGTGTGTGTGTCTGTGTGTGTCTGTGTGTGTCAGTGTGTGTGCGAGTGCTGCGTGTGTCACAACCTCCTGGCGTTGGCGCCACAGCTTGGACGAGGCCGCGTGGCTCCACTCCAGCTCCTCGCGGCGGTGACGCTGCTGCTGCTGCAGCTGCTGCTCCTGCTGCTGCTGCCGCTCCCCACCACCACCACCACCCCGGCGTTGGCTCTGCACCGCCTCACGCTCCGTGAGCTCACGCACCTGGGATACGTGCATCCACGATGTGGTGTGGATGCGCCGATGCCGGAACAGCGTGTTGGTAATTACAAGCCCATGGGCTGAGCAAAAGTCTAGCAGCCTCCTACCGTTGTTATTGAGCTGATCTGGCCCATGCCTTCCAATCACTCCAGACCAGGTGCCAGCATCATGACCAACTCGGGCATTGAAGTCACCCAACAAGATGACTCTGTCCCGAGTGGCCACTTTAGCCAGCACCTGTGAAAGGAGGTCATAGAAGGCATCTGACTCATCGGCCTTGCCTGCATCCCTCCACGGATGTTCGTCTTAGTTGGCGGCATAAGTAACCACCACCACTCCTCGCCTCCCGTTGATGGGAAGGCGAGCCCACAGTAGCCTGGGGCTTACAGCTTCCCACACCTCACCGTCACGCTCCCACGCCCCCTTCATTCTTTTGTTCAGAAGAAGAGCCACTCCCTGTTGTTTGGCAGTCTCCTGCCCCGAGTAGAGGACTGTCCACCCCTCATGGTGGCAGGACCCAGAGCCGGTCCACCGGACCTCCTGAATGCCACAGAGATCCAGGCGGTACCGGTCCAGCTCCCGACAGAGGAGTGGCAGCCTCTCCTCCGCAGTGAGCGTTCCAACATTCCACGTGGCCACACGCAGTGATTTTTGTTGTTGTTTCTGGAGGTGCCCCAAGGGTGAAGATTCAGCCTCCTGGCTCCGCCAATTGGGGTTTGGCCAGGAGACGTCACAGATGCCTGTCCCCCCGGGGCCTCCGGCACAAGCTGATTAGTTAGAATTTTCCCACGTAATTTAGTGGTACTGAGGTTGAAGGTGGAGGGGTTTCCAACCCCTGGCACCCGTCCAGAGCCGCCTTTGGCCACTGTGGTGGCTACAGACGCCATGAGGGGAATAGCAAATTTAAATTGACCATCCCCTCCCCATGGCATTGCTCACACAGACACACACAGACAGACACACACACAGACAGACAGACACACACAGATACACAGACAGACAGATACACAGACAGACAGACAGACAGACACAACAACAACAACCGCCATTCACCACTAAGTGGCGGTGACGTCACCACGACGCTTGTGCCAGGCCATGTGCACCTTGAGGCCACGTGAAGTGTCGAACGCCCGCTGGCAGGAGGTCACGGGGCAGACCCAGCAGGTGCCACGGGTCGACTGACAGATGACCGAGATGACACACACACACAGACACACAGACACACACACAGACACACAGACACACACACAGACACACACACAGACAGACAGACACACACAAAGACACACACACACACAGACAGACACACACACAGACAGACACACAGACAGACACACACACACACACAGACAGACACACACACAGGCAGAGTGTCTCACCCTGGTGTCCACCTCCTCTCGGACTCGCCGCTCCACCTGCAGCTCCAGCCGGTGCAGTCCGGACCCGACTGCTCCCTTGGGGTCTCGGACAGCCGCCGAAAACTCGCGGTCAATGCAGCGAAGCCTCTCCCCTGGGTGCAGTGACACAGAGAGACACGGAGAGAGAGACACGGAGAGAGAGACACGGAGAGAGAGACACGGACAGAGAGACACGGAGAGACAGACACAGAGTCATGGAGATGAAAACACAGAGAGACACGGAGAGAGAGACACAAAGAGAGACACGGAGAGACAGACACGGAAAGACAGACACGGAGAGAGACACGGAGACAGACACGGAGACAGACACGGAGACAGACACGGAGAGAGAGACACGGACAGAGAGACACGGAGAGACAGACACAGAGTCATGGAGATGAAAACACAGAGAGACACGGAGAGAGAGACACAAAGAGAGACACGGAGAGACAGACACGGAAAGACAGACACGGAGAGAGACACGGAGACAGACACGGAGACAGACACGGAGACAGACACGGAGAGAGACACGGAGAGAGAGAGAGACACGGAGAGAGAGACACAGAGTCATGGAGATGGAAACACAGAGAGAGACACGGAGAGACAGACACGGAGAGAGACACGGAGAGAGACACGGAGAGAGAGAGAGACGGAGAGAGAGAGAGACACGGAGAGACAGACACGGAGTCATGGAGATGGAAACACAGAGCGAGAGAGAGAGACAGACACACACAGAGACACACAGATATACAGGTGCTACTCACTAACAACACTTGCCCCAACAGCCTGTTAAGGCTACACGGGGGATCTTTGTCTTTTGAGTGGCGGGTGAGCGTGTGTGGGGAGTGGTGAGTGACCTCCTGGTGCACCTAGCCTGGCACAGCAGTCAGCCCACGGCACATGGGCGAGCGAGTGTGTTGGTGAGTAGCGAGTGTTTTGGTGAGTAGCGAGTGTCTTGGTGAGTAGCGAGTGTCTTGGTGAGTAGCGAGTGTCCTGGTGAGTAGCGAGTGTTTTGGTGAGTAGCGAGTGTTTTGGTGAGTAGCGAGTGTCTTGGTAAGTAGCGAGTGTTTTGGTGAGTAGCGAGTGTCTTGGTGAGTAGCGAGTGTCTTGGTGAGTAGCGAGTGTTTTGGTGAGTAGCGAGTGTTTTGGTGAGTACCGAGTGTTTCGCCCCACGCTCGCTCCTCAGGGCTGGTCTGCGTCTCTTCATCGCGAACACCGCTCCCACTCGCTCTCTCGGAGAGCTCTTCCAGCAGCCAGAGCAACAAACCTACAGAGAGAGACACACACACAGAGAGATACATAGAGATATACACACACAGAGATAGATACATACACACACAGAGATATACACACACAGAGAGAGACACACAGATACACACACAGAGAGATACACACAGAGAGATACACACAGAGATAGATACACACACAGAGAGACACATAGATACACACACAGAGATAGATACACACACAGAGAGATACACACACAGAGATATACATAGAACTATACACACACACACAGATACACACACAGAGATATACACACACAGAGATAGATACACACACAGAGATAGATACATACAAGCAGAGCCCCGCTGCTGCTGCTGCTGAGACACTGCATGTCGAAACCGGTCGCTAGCTACACACACGTGGCAGTGCACCATCACTGGTGAAGGGCGTGTGAATACAACTCACTCGGATGGCTTCCTCCCGCACTGCCCACAGCAGCAGCAGCAGCAGCAGTCTGCAACAAGAGCAAAACGAAACACAAGACGACGCTTCGAGATAATCGCACCGCCGACTCGTGCAGCATCAGCTGGAGATGCAGGCGCGGGTGGGTTGATTCTAGGAACTTGAATTGTGAGAAGAGACAAGACGTTGGGAAATGAGTGACAAACGGTGACTCACCGGTGACTCACGGCCTACCCGTACCCTACCCGAAATGAGTGACAAACGGTGACTCACCGGTGACTCACGGCCTACCCGTACCCGTACCCTACCCGAAATGAGTGACAAACGGTGACTCACCGGTGACTCACGGCCTACCCGTACCCTACCCGAAATGAGTGACAAACGGTGACTCACCAGTGACTCACGGCCTACCCGTACCCGTACCCTACCCGAAATGAGTGACAAACGGTGACTCACCGGTGACTCACGGCCTACCCGTACCCTACCCGAAATGAGTGACAAACGGTGACTCACCGGTGACTCACGGCCTACCCGTACCCGTACCCTACCGGAAATGAGTGACAAACGGTGACTCACCGGTGACTCACGGCCTACCCGTACCCGTACCCTACCCGAAATGAGTGACAAACGGTGACTCACCGGTGACTCACGGCCTACCCGTACCCGTACCCTACCCGAAATGAGTGACAAACGGTGACTCACCAGTGACTCACGGCCTACCCGTACCCTACCCTACCCGAAATGAGTGACAAACGGTGACTCACCAGTGACTCACGGCCTACCCGTACCCGGCCGCACCAGGGTCGCAAACGGAAACCCGTACCCGGCCGGGTACGGGTAGCCGGGTATCGGGTAGGGTACGGGTATCGGGTACCCGGTTGCGACCTCTGGAGGAAAGTGGAAACGAATGGTGACATGTGCAGCGAACATCTGCTATGAGCTGCCCATAGATCGTGATGACGACGATGGCAGGAAACAGCGCTATAGGAGGTCCCTATAACATGGTCCCAATGGAGATGCGTTACCAACAGCGCTATAGGAAACAGCGCTATAGGAGGTCCCTATAACATGGTCCCAATGGAGATGCGTTACCAACAGCACTATAGGAAACAGCGCTATAGGAGGTCCCTATAACATGGTCCCAATGGAGATGCGTTACCGACAGCGCTATAGGAAACAGCGCTATAGGAGGTCACTATAACATGGCCCCAATGGAGATGCGTTACCAACAGCGCTATAGGAAACAGCGCTGTAGGAGGTCACTATAACATGGCCCCAATGGAGATGCGTTACCAACAGCGCTATAGGAAACAGCGCTATAGGAGGTCACTATAACATGGCCCCAATGGAGATGCGTTACCAACAGCGCTATAGGAAACAGCGCTGTAGGAGGTCACTATAACATGGTCCCAATGGAGTTGCGTTACCAACAGCGCTATAGGAAACAGCGCTATAAGAGCTCACTATAACATGGTCCCAATGGAGATGCGTTACCGACAGCGCTATAGGAAACAGCGCTATAGGAGGTCACTATAACATGGTCCCAATGGAGATGCGTTACCGACAGCGCTATAGGAAACAGCGCTATAGGATGTCGCTATAACATGGTCCCAATGGAGATGCGTTATAACGAGACTGTGCACGTCATGAATCTACGACTTATACCAGTGATTGCGATGATCTGAAACGGTCCTGGGCCTCCCCTAGGTCGACTCAGTCTCAAACAAACACCTGGTACGGTATGTAAACATCGTCAGCGGGGAGACAAAGGTGGCCGGGCGGGCGTGATGCTGACCACCCACCCCCTCGTGTGCCAGTGCGCTGCTACTCGCTACTAACAGCACTTGCCCCTACAGCCCTACTAGAGGCTACCTGGGGGAGCTTTGTCTGTGTGTGCATCATAGGTGGTGCTGCTACTGGCTACTAACAGCACTTGCCCCTACAGCCCTGCTAGAGGCTACCTGGGGGAGCTTTGTCTGTGTGTGCATCATAGTTGGCGCTGCTACTCGCTACTAACAGCACTTGCCCCTATAGCCCTGCTAGAGGCTACACGGGGGATCTTTGTCTGTGTGTGCATCATAGGTGGTGCTGCTACTCGCTACTAACAGCACTTGCCCCTACAGCCCTGCTAGAGGCTACCTGGGGGAGCTTTGTCTGTGTGTGCATCATAGGTGGTGCTGCTACTCGCTACTAACAGCACTTGCCCCTACAGCCCTGCTAGAGGCTACCTGGGGGATCTTTGACTGTGTGTGCATCATAGGTGGCGCTGCTACTCGCTACTAACAGCACTTGCCCCTACAGCCCTGCTAGAGGCTACCTGGGGGAGCTTTGTCTGTGTGTGCATCATAGGTGGCGCTGCTACTCGCTACTAACAGCACTTGCCCCTACAGCCCTGCTAGAGGCTACACGGGGGAGCTTTGTCTGTGTCTTTGTCGATGTGAATTTGTCTGTCTGTGTTCTTACTGTCCGTGCTGCCCAGCGCTCCGAGCTCAAACCCAGAACCCGCAAAACCTCCTCCGGCTTTAATACCTGTGGAGAAAACAACACCAACATCACCATCAACACCATCACCTACAACATCATTACCATCAACACCATCATCAACATCATCACCATCACCACCATCAACACCATCACCTACACCATCATTACCATCAACACCATCATCAACATCATCACCATCACCACCATCAACACCATCACCTACAACATCATTACCATCAACACCATCATCAACATCATCGCCATCACCACCATAAATACCATCACCTACTCCATCATTACCATCAACACCATCATCAACATCAACACCATCATCAACATCATCACCATCACCACCATCAACACCATCACCTACACCATCATCAACATCAACACCATCATCAACATCATCACCATCACCACCATCAACACCATCACCTACACCATCATTACCATCAACACCATCATCAACATCATCACCATCACCACCATCAACACCATCACCTACAATATTATTACCATCAACACCATCATCAACATCATCACCATCAACACCATCACCTACAACATTATTACCATCAACACCATCATCAACATCATCGCCATCACCACCATAAATACCATCACCTACATCATTACTATCAACACCATCAACTATGTCAACATCACTTATCATCACCACCAACATCAACACTATCACCAGCAACATCACCACCATCATCAACATCACCACCACCATCAACAACATCAACATCATCAACATACCCACCATCACCTACGTCACCAGCAACATCACCACCATCAACACCATCATCAACATCAACATCAGAAGCTGAGTGAATGAATAACTGAGTGAGTGACTGAGTGAGTAGCTGAGTGAGTAGCTGAGTTAGTGAGTAGTTGAGTGAGTAGTTGAGTAGCTGAGTTAGTGAGTAGCTGAGTAAGTAGTTGAGTAAGTGACCGAGTGAGTAACTGAGTAGCTGAGTGAATCGTTAAGTGAGTTACCGAGAGAATGAGTAGCTGAGTGAGTAGCTGAGTGAGTAGCTGAGTGAGTAGCTGAGTGAGTGAGTAGTTGAGTAAGTGACTGAGTGAGTAGTTGAGTGAGTGAGTGGCTGAGTGAGTAGCTGAGTGAGTGAGTAGCTGAGTGAGTAGCTGAGTGAGTAGCTGAGTGAGTAGTTGAGTAAGTAGCTGAGTGAGTAGCTGAATGAGTAGTTGAGTAAGTGACCGAGTGAGTGAGTAGCTGAGTGAGTGAGTAGCTGAGTGAGTGAGTAGTTGAATGAGTGAGTGGCTGAGTGAGTAGCTGAGTGGCTGAGTGAGTGAGTACTGAGTGAGTGAGTAGCTGAGTGAGTAGCTGAGTGAGTAGCTGAGTGAGTAGCTGAGTGGCTGAGTGAGTGAGTAGCTGAGTGAGTAGCTGAGTGAGTGAGTAGCTGAGTGAGTGAGTAGTTGAATGAGTGAGCTGGCTGAGTGAGAGGCTGAGTGAGTGCTGAGTGAGTGAGTAGCTGAGTGAGTGAGTAGCTGAATGGTAGCTGAGTGGTGAGTGAGTAGCTGAGTGGTAGTGAGTGAGTAGCTGAGTGAGTGAGTAGCTGAGTGAGTAGCTGAGTGAGTGAGTAGGCTGAGGAGGAGCTGAGTGAGTGAGTAGCTGAGTGAGTGAGTTAGCTGAGTGAGTAGCGAGTGAGTGAGTAGCTGAGTGAGTGAGCTGAGCTGGAGTGAGTAGCTGAGTGAGTGAGTAGCTGAGTGATGTAGCTGAGTGAGTGAGTAGGCTGGATGGTGAGTAGCTGAGGTGAGTAGCTGAGTGGATGAGTAGCTGAGTGAGTAGCTGAGTGAGGAGTAGCTGAGTGAGTGAGTAGCTGAGTGAGTGAGTAGCTGAGTGAGTGGAGTAGCTGAGTGAGTAGCTGAGTGAGTGAGTAGCTGAGTAGTGAGTAGCCTGAGTGAGTGATAGCTGAGTGAGTGAGTAGCTGAGTGAGTAGCTGAGTGAGTGAGTAGCTGAGTGAGTGAGTAGCTGAGTGAGTAGCTGAGTGAGTGAGTAGCTGAGTGAGTAGCTGAGTGAGTGAGTAGCTGAGTGAGTGAGTAGCTGAGTGAGTAGCTGAGTGAGTGAGTAGCTGAGTGAGTACCTGAGTGAGTGAGTAGCTGAGTGAGTGAGTACCTGAGTGAGTGAGTAGCTGAGTGAGTGAGTAGCTGAGTGAGTGAGTGGCTGAGTGAGTGAGTGGCTGAGTGAGTAGCTGAGTGAGTGAGTAGCTGAGTGAGTGAGTAGCTGAGTGAGTGAGTAGCTGAGTGAGTGAGTAGCTGAGTGAGTGAGTAGCTGAGTGAGTGAGTAGCTGAGTGAGTGAGTAGCTGAGTGAGTGAGTAGCTGAGTGAGTGAGTAGCTGAGTGAGTGAGTGAGTAGCTGAGTGAGTGAGTACCTGAGTGAGTGAGTAGCTGAGTGAGTGAGTACCTGAGTGAGTGAGTAGCTGAGTGAGTGAGTAGCTGAGTGAGTGAGTGGCTGAGTGAGTGAGTGGCTGAGTGAGTAGCTGAGTGAGTGAGTAGCTGAGTGAGTGAGTAGCTGAGTGAGTGAGTAGCTGAGTGAGTGAGTAGCTGAGTGAGTGAGTACCTGAGTGAGTGAGTAGCTGAGTGAGTAGCTGAGTGAGTGAGTAGCTGAGTGAGTGAGTAGCTGAGTGAGTAGCTGAGTGAGTGCTAGAGTGAGTAGCTGAGTGAGTGAGTAGCTGAGTGAGTGAGTAGCTGAGTGAGTAGCTGAGTGAGTGAGTAGCTGAGTGAGTAGCTGAGTGAGTGAGTAGCTGAGTGAGTAGCTGAGTGAGTGAGTAGCTGAGTGAGTGAGTGCTGAGTGAGTAGCTGAGTGAGTGAGTAGCTGAGTGAGTGAGTAGCTGAGTGAGTAGCTGAGTGAGTGAGTAGCTGAGTGAGTAGCTGAGTGAGTGAGTAGCTGTGAGTGAGTAGCTGAGAGTAGCTGAGTGTGGAGTAGCTGAGTGAGTAGCTGAGTGTGGAGTAGCTGAGTGTGGAGTAGCTGAGTGTGGAGTAGCTGAGTGAGGAGTAGCTGAGTGTGGAGTAGCTGAGTGGAGTAGCTGAGTGTGGAGTAGCTGAGAGTGAGCGAGTGCATTAGCTGAGTGAGTGAGTAGCTGATGAGTGAGTGAGTAGCTGAGTGAGTGAGTACCTGAGTGAGTGAGTAGCTGAGTGATTGAGTAGCTGAGGAGTATGAGTAGCTGAGTGAGTGGAGTAGCTGAGTGAGGAGTAGCTGAGTGAGTGAGTGGGTGAGTAGCTGAGTGAGTGATTACCTGAGTGAGTGAGTAGCTGAGTGAGTGAGTACCTGAGTGAGTGAGTAGCTGAGTGAGTGAGTAGCTGAGTGAGTGAGTGGCTGAGTGAGTGAGTGGCTGAGTGAGTAGCTGAGTGAGTGAGTAGCTGAGTGAGTGAGTAGCTGAGTGAGTGAGTAGCTGAGTGAGTGAGTGCTGAGTGAGTGAGTAGCTGAGTGAGTGTATGGGTAGCTGAGTGAGTGAGTAGCTGAGTGAGTGAGTAGCTGAGTGAGTGAGTAGCTGAGTGAGTGAGTAGCTGAGTGAGTAGCTGAGTGAGTGAGTAGCTGAGTGAGCGAGTAGCTGAGTGAGTGAGTAGCTGAGTGAGTGAGTGAGTAGCTATGAGAGTGAGTGAGTAGCTGAGTGAGTGAGTAGCTGAGTGAGTGAGTAGCTGAGTAACTGAGTAGCTGAGTAACTGAGTAGCTGAGTAACTGAGTAGCTGAGTGAGTAGCTGAGTAACTGAGTAGCTGAGTGAGAGTAGCTGAGTGAGTGAGTAGCTGAGTGAGTGAGTAGCTGAGTGAGTAGCTGAGTGAGTGAGTAGCTGAGTGAGTGAGTAGCTGAGTGAGTGAGTAGCTGAGTGAGTGAGTAGCTGAGTGAGTAACTGAGTGGCTGAGTGAGTAGCTGAGTGAGTGAGTAGCTGAGTGAGTGAGTACCTGAGTGAGTGAGTAGCTGAGTGAGTGAGTAGCTGAGTAGTGAGTGGCTGAGTGAGTGAGTGGCTGAGTGAGTAGCTGAGTGAGTGAGTAGCTGAGTGAGTGAGTAGCTGAGTGAGTGAGTAGTGAGTGAGTGAGTGAGTAGCTGAGTGAGTAGCTGAGTGAGTGAGTAGCTGAGTGAGTGAGTAGCTGAGTGAGTAGCTGAGTGAGTGAGTAGCTGAGTGAGTAGCTGAGTGAGTGAGTAGCTGAGTGAGTGAGTAGCTGAGTGAGTAGCTGAGGAGTGAGTAGCTGAGTGAGTAGCTGAGTGAGTAGCTGAGTGAGTAGCTGAGTGAGTGAGTAGCTGAGTGAGTAGCTGAGTGAGTGAGTAGCTGAGTGAGTGAGTAGCTGAGTGAGTAGCTGAGTGAGTGAGTAGCTGAGTGAGTAGCTGAGTGAGTGAGTAGCTGAGTGAGTGAGTAGCTGAGTGAGTGGTAGCTGAGTGAGTAGCTGAGTGAGTGAGTAGCTGAGTGAGTAGCTGAGTGAGTGAGTAGCTGAGTGAGTAGCTGAGTGAGTGAGTAGCTGAGTGAGTGAGTAGCTGAGTGAGTGAGTGAGTAGCTGAGTGAGTAGCTGAGTGAGTGAGTAGCTGAGTGAGCGAGTAGCTGAGTGAGTGAGTAGGAGTGAGTGAGTGAGTAGCTGAGTGAGTGAGTACCTGAGTGAGTGAGTAGCTGAGTGAGTGAGTAGCTGAGTGAGTGAGTAGCTGAGTGAGTGAGTAGCTGCGTGAGTGAGTAGCTGAGGAGTGAGTAGCTGAGTGAGTGAGTAGCTGAGTGAGGAGTACCTGAGTGAGTGAGTAGCTGAGTGAGTGAGTAGCTGAGTGAGTGAGTGGCTGAGTGAGTGAGTGGCTGAGTGAGTAGCTGAGTGAGTGAGTAGCTGAGGTGAGTGAGTAGCTGAGTGAGTGAGTAGCTGAGTGAGTGAGTAGCTGAGTGAGTGAGTAGCTGAGTGAGTGAGTTAGCTGAGTGAGTAGCTGAGTGAGTGAGTAGCTGAGGAGTGAGTAGCGGAGTAGCTGAGTGATGTGAGTAGCTTGGTGAGTAGCTGAGTGAGTGAGTAGCTGAGTGAGTGAGTAGCTGAGTGAGTGAGTAGCTGAGTGAGTGAGTAGCTGAGTGAGGGATAGTTGAGTGAGTAGCTGAGTGAGTGAGTAGCTGAGTGAGTGAAGTAGCTGAGTGAGTGAGTAGCTGAGTGACGCTGAGTAGCTGAGTGCTGATGAGTAGCTGGTGAGTGAGTAGCTGAGTGGAGTGAGTAACTGAGTGAGTGAGTAGCTGAGTGAGTGAGTAGCTGAGTGAGTGAGTAGCTGAGTAGCTGAGTAGCTGAGTGAGTAGCTGAGTAGGTGAGTGAGTAGCTGAGTGAGTAGCTGAGTAGGTGAGTGAGTAGCTGAGTGAGTGAGTAGCTGGAGTGCGTAGCTGAGTGAGTAGTGAGTTGAGTGAGTGAGTAGCTGAGTGAGTGAGTACCGAGTGAGTGAGTAGCTGGTGAGTGAGTACTGAGTGAGTAGCGTAGTGAGTGAGTGAGTAGCTGAGTAGGTGAGTGAGTAGCTGAGTAGCTGAGTAGGTGAGTGAGTAGCTGAGTAGCTGAGTAGCTGAGTGAGTAGCTGAGTGAGTAGCTGAGTGAGTGAGTATCTGAGTGAGTGAGTATCCTGAGTGAGTGAGTAGCTGAGTGAGTGAGTAGTGAGTGAGTGAGTAGCTGAGTGAGTGAGTAGCTGAGTGAGTGAGTAGCTGAGTGAGTGATAGCTGAGTGAGGAGTGATTAGCTGAGTGAGTGAGTAGCTGAGTGAGTGAGTAGCTGAGTGAGTGAGTAGCTGAGTGAGTGAGTAGCGTGAGTGAGTAGCTGAGTAGCTGATGAGTGAGGTGAGTCGTGGCTGAGTGAGTGAGTGGCTGAGTGAGTAGCTGAGTGAGTGAGTAGCTGAGTGAGTGAAGTAGCTGAGTGAGTGAGTAGCTGAGTGAGTGAGTAGCTGAGTGAGTGAGTACCTGAGTGAGTGAGTAGCTGATGAGTAGCTGAGTGAGTGAGTAGCTGAGTGGAGTGAGTCGCTGAGTGAGTAGCTGAGTGAGTGAGTAGCTGAGTGAGTAGAGCTGAGTGAGTGAGTAGCTGAGTGAGTGAGTAGCTGAGTGAGTAGCTGAGTGAGTAGCTGAGTGAGTGAGTAGCTGAGTGAGTAGCTGAGTGAGTAGCTGAGTGAGTAGCTGAGTGAGTAGCTTGAGTGAGTGAGTAGCTGAGTGAGTGAGTAGCTGAGTGAGTAGCTGAGTGAGTGAGTAGCTGTGAGTGAGTAGCTTGAGTGTAGCTGAGTGAGTGAGTAGCTGAGTGAGTAGCTGAGTGAGTGAGTAGCTGAGTGAGTGACTGATGGAGTAGCTGAGTGAGTGAGTAGCTGAGTGAGTAGCTGAGTGAGTGAGTAGCTGAGTGAGTAGCTGAGTGAGTGAGTATCTGAGTGAGTGAGTAGCTGAGTGAGTGAGTGAGTAGCTGAGTGAGTAGCTGAGTGAGTGAGTAGCTGAGTGAGCGAGTTAGCTGAGTGAGTGAGTAGCTGAGTGAGTGAGTGAGTAGCTGAGTGAGTGAGTACCTGAGTGAGTGAGTAGCTGAGTGAGTGAGTAGCTGAGTGGTGAGTAGCTGAGTGAGTGAGTAGCTGAGTGAGTGAGTAGCTGAGGTGAGTGAGTGAGTAGCTGAGTGAGTGAGTAGCCTGAGTGAGTGAGTAGCTTGAGTGAGTGAGTACCTGAAGTGAGTGAGTAGCTGAGTGAGTGAGTAGCTGAGTGAGTGAGTGGCTGAGTGGAGTGAGTGGCGAGTGAGTAGATGAGTGAGTGAGTAGCTGAGTGAGTGAGTAGCTGAGTGAGTGAGTAGCTGAGTGAGTGAGTAGCTGAGTGAGTGAGTAGCTGAAGTGAGTGAGTAGCTGAGTGAGTGAGTAGCTGAGTGAGTGAGTAGCTGAGTGAGTAGCTGAGTGCGTAGCTGAGTGAGTGAGTAGCTGAGTGAGTGAGTGAGTAAGCTGAGTGAGTCGCTGAGTGAGTGAGTAGCTGAGTGAGCGAGTCAGCTGAGTGAGTGAGTAGCTGAGTGAGTGAGTAGCTGAGTGGTGAGTAGCTGAGTGAGTGAGTAGCTGAGTGAGTGAGTAGCTGAGTGAGGAGTAGCTGCGGAGTGAGTGAGTAGCTGAGTGAGTGAGTAGCTGAGTGAGTAGCTGAGTAACTGAGTGCTGAGTGAGTAGCTGAGTGAGTGAGTAGCTGGCTGAGTGAGTAGCTGAGTGAGTGAGTAGCTGAGTGAGTAGCTGAGTGAGTGAGTAGCTGAGTGAGTAGCTGAGTGAGTGAGTAGCTGAGTGAGTGAGTAGCTGAGTGAGTGAGTAGCTGAGTGAGTGAGTAGCTGAGTGAGTAGCTGAGTGAGTAGCTGAGTGAGTGATGAGTAGCTGAGTGAGTGAGTACCTGAGTGAGTGAGTAGCTGAGTGAGTGAGTAGCTGAGTGAGTGAGTAGCTGAGTGAGTGAGTAGCTGAGTGAGTGAGTGAGTAGCTGAGTGAGTGAGTAGCTGAGTGAGTGAGTAGCTGAGTGAGTGAGTAGCTGAGTGAGTAGCTGAGTGAGTAGCTGAGTGAGTGAGTGAGTAGCTGAGTGAGTGAGTAGCTGAGTGAGTGAGTAGCTGAGTGAGTAGCTGAGTGAGTGAGTAGCTGAGTGAGTGAGTAGCTGAGTGAGTAGCTGAGTGAGTGAGTAGCTGAGTGAGTGAGTAGCTGAGTGAGTGAGTAGCTGAGTGAGTGAGTAGCTGAGTGAGTGAGTAGCTGAGTGAGTGAGTAGCTGAGTGAGTGAGTAGCTGAGTGAGTAGCTGAGTGAGTGAGTAGCTGAGTGAGTGAGTAGCTGAGTGAGTGAGTAGCTGAGTGAGTGAGTAGCTGAGTGAGTGAGTAGCTGAGTGAGTGAGTAGCTGAGTGAGTGAGTAGCTGAGTGAGTGAGTAGCTGAGTGAGTGAGTAGCTGAGTGAGTGAGTAGCTGGTGAGGTAGTGAAGCTGAGTGTGAGTAGCTGAGTGAGTGAGTAGCTGAGTGAGGAGTAGCTGAGTGAGTGAGTAGCTGAGTGAGTGAGTAGGTGAGTGAGTGAGTAGCTGACTGAGTGAGTAGCTGAGTGAGTGAGTAGCTGAGTGAGTGAGTAGCTGAGTGAGTGAGTAGCTGAGTGAGTGAGTGAGTAGCTGAGTGAGTGGTAGCTGAGTGAGTGGTAGCTGAGTGAGTGAGTAGCTGAGTGAGTGAGTAGGTGAGTAGCTGAGTGAGTAGCTGAGTGAGTGAGTAGCTGAGTGAGTGAGTCTGATGAGTGAGTAGCTGGTAGTGAGTCCTGAGTTGAGTGAGCTGAGTGAGTAGCTGAGTGAGTAGCTGAGGTGAGTGAGTGAGTAGCTGAGTGAGTGAGTAGCTGAGTGAGTGAGTAGCTGAGTGAGTGAGTAGCTGAGTGAGTGAGTGGCTGAGTGAGTGAGTAGCTGAGTGAGTAGCTGAGTGAGTGAGTAGCTGAGTGAGTGAGTAGCTGAGTGAGTGAGTAGCTGAGTGAGTAGCTGAGTGAGTAGCTGAGTGAGTAGCTGAGTGAGTGAGTAGCTGAGTGAGTGAGTAGCTGAGTGAGTGAGTAGCTGAGTGAGTGAGTAGCTGAGTGAGTGAGTGGCTGAGTGAGTGAGTAGCTGAGTGAGTAGCTGAGTGAGTGAGTAGCTGAGTGAGTGAGTAGCTGAGTGAGTGAGTAGCTGAGTGAGTAGCTGAGTGAGTAGCTGAGTGAGTAGCTGAGTGAGTGAGTAGCTGAATGAGTGAGTAACCGCGTGGGGCTGCAGGCCGCTCTCTGGGTACAGGAGGCACAGCGAGTAGTCGCAGGCCGTGGCTCCCAGGTGCTGAGCCACGAGGCTGAGAGCCACACTCTCCACCAGGCCCGGAGGAGCCTTCCACTCGCCTGGACAGCGCAGCTCACGGACCACGCGGTCCCGTACGTGGGTCTGTATCACACCACACGCAGACACGTAGATACACAGACACGTACACACACAGACACGTAGATACACAGACACGTAGACACACAGACACACGTACACACACAGATACGTAGACACACAGACACACAGACACGTAGATACACAGACACGTAGACACACAGACACGTACACACAGACACGTAGATACACAGACACGTAGATACACAGACACGTACACACACAGACACGTAGACACACAGACACGTAGACACACAGACACACGTACACACACAGATACGTACACACAGACACGTAAACACACAGACACGTAGACACACAGACACGTAGACACACAGACACGTAGACACACAGACACGTAGACACACAGACACGTACACACAGACACGTAGATACACAGACACGTACACACACAGACACGTAGACACACAGACACACAACAACCGCCATTCGCCACTAAGTGGCGGTGACGTCACCACGACGCGTGTGCCAGGCCAAGTGCACCTTGAGGCCACGTGAAGTGTCGAACGCCCGCTGGCAGGAGGTCACGGGGCAGACCCAGCAGGTGCCACGGGTCGACTGACCGAGATGACCGAGATGACTGGCTGATGCACCACCTGTGCCCCCTACTGTGCCAACTTGCTGTGCTTTAGCCACCCGGCGCTCCGCTCGTTGTTGTGAGCGTCGCTCCTCCGCCCTCCGTTGTTGTTGGAGGGCGACTGCCTCCAACTGCCCAGTAGCGTCCTTCACGAGCCTCCTCCATAGAGGCCGATCTTGACACCGCTGGTACCGGTCATCAGCAAGTCCACTCAGCTCCAAAGCCTCCCATACCTCATCAACTCCATCTCTTCTCAAGCCTGTGGCACGCCCATTTCACCCCCTCGATCTGGCCGAATAAAAACTGTTGGGGTATGCGGTAGCTGGGCATGCGGGCTACGTGACCCAGCCAAGGCAGCATTGTCTGCCGGAGGAGTTCACCGATGGGACTGTGTCCAGATCTTTCAACGATTTGTGAGCTCCTCACACAATCCAGCCTCTTGGTTAAACCCAGGATGGATCGTAGGCAGGGCCAGCTTGAATGCTTCTAACCCACGCAGATGTTCCATTAGAGGGGTCCACGTTTCACAAGCACAGCAAAGGGAGGGCATGAATGTGGCCGAGAAGACCAGGAGCTTTGTGTGGAGCGACAGACCAGGTAGCTTCCACACAGCATTACATAGCCGATAGAAAGATACCAACTGATTCAGAGTGAGACGTCTGTTGAAACCACGTGCAAAATATACATTGATCGCGTAAAGACACAGACACACATAGCACTTGCCCCTACAGCCTGTCAAGGCTACCCGGGAGCCCTTTGTCTCTGTGAGTGTGCGGAGTTACATTGAGTCTGTGTCTATGTGTATCTATGTGTGTGTGAGTCTGTGTGTGTAAGTCTTTGTGTCTGTCACTCTGTATATATGTGTCTGTGTGTACATCTACATGTGTATCTGTCTGTGTGAGTGTGTATCTACGTATGTGTCTGTGTGTGTCTGTGCGTGTATCAGTGTGTCTCGTGTGTCTGTGTATCTATGTGTGTCTGTGCGTGTGCGTATCAGTGTGTCTATGTGTGTCTATGTTTGTCTGTGTGTGTGCATCAGTGTGTCTGTGCATGTGTGTATCAGTGTGTCTGTGTATGTCTGTGCGTGTATCAGTGTGTCTGTGTGTGTCTGTGCGTGTATCAGTGCGTCTCGTGTGTCTGTGTATCTATGTGTGTCTGTGCGTGTGCGTATCAGTGTGTCTATGTGTGTCTATGTTTGTCTGTGTGTGTGCATCAGTGTGTTTGTGCATGTGTGTATCAGTGTGTCTGTGTATGTCTGTGCGTGTATCAGTGTGTTTGTGTGTGTCTGTGCGTTTATCAGTGCGTCTCGTGTGTCTGTGTATCTATGTGTGTCTGTGCGTGTGTGCATCAGTGTGTCTATGTGTGTCCGTGCGTGTCTGTGCGTGTCAGTGTGTTTGTGTGTTTATGTGTGTCTGTGTGAGTCTGTGTGTGTGTGTCTGTGTGTGTGTCTGTGTGTGTGTGTGTCTGTGTGAGTCTGTGTGTGTGTCTGTGTGTGTCTGTGTGAGTCACCTTTAGCGCAGTGAGGAGGCCTCGGCTCTTGAAGGCTGTGTGTGTTTGTGTGTGTGTCTGTGTGTGTGTGTCTGTGTGTGTCTGTGTGTGTGTGTGTGTCTGTGTGTGTGTCTGTGTGTGTCTGTGTGTCTGTGTGTGTGTCTGTGTGTGTGTCTGTGTGTGTGTGTCTGTGTGTGTGTGTCTGTGTGTGTGTCTGTGTGTGTGTCTGTGTGTGTGTGTCTGTGTGTGTCTGTGTGTGTGTCTGTGTGTGTGTCTGTGTGTGTGTCTGTGTGTGTGTCTGTGTGTGTGTCTGTGTGTGTGTCTGTGTGTCTGTGTCTGTGTGTGTCACCTTTAGTGCAGTGAGGAGGCCTCGGCTCTTGAAGGCCGAGTAGAGTCGCTCTCGCAGCTCCGCCTGGGACTCGAGTTCCCGCGAGGAGCCTCGCACACCACGCGGCGTCTCCATCCCCGGAGATACTGCGACACACACAGAGATGATGCACACAGAGATGATACACACACAGAGATACACACACAGAGATAATGCACACAGAGATGATACACACACAGAGATACACACACAGAGATACTGCGACACACAGAGATATACACACAGAGATGATGCACACAGAGATGATACACACACAGAGATACTGCGACACACAGAGAGAGATACACAGAGAGATACACACACAGAGATACACACACACACACAGAGATAGACACACAGAGATACACACACAGAGATACTGCGACACACAGAGAGAGATACACACAGAGAGATACACACACAGAGATACACACACACAGAGATAGACACACAGAGAGATGATACAGAGATGCAGCTCAAAATACACACAGATGCAGAGAGATTGACACAGAGATGCACACACACAGAGATGCACACACACAGAGAGATAGACACACACAGAGATACACACACAGAGATGCACACACACAGAGAGATAGACACGCAGATATCGTGCTAACCACTGCACCACCGCTCCCCTAACTCACTCACCCCCCCACAGTGACACACACGAACACATCCACACAGACACACCAGCTACTCATTTATGGCTGAGTCGACCTTGAGACACTCACACACGAACACAACCTACCGATTTCTACAACAACAAACGCCTCCGTCAACAACTCTGGTGGTGGTTGTGCGTGCGTCTGTGTACGACTGAAGCGACGTTTCGGGCGATGTGCCTGTGGCAGGCGACACGAGTTCAAGTTCTCCACTCGCTCGGCCACAGCGCGGCAACCATCGCGGGAACACCCCCACCCCGCCGTCTCCATGGCGACGCACCCACACCCCCACCCCGCCGTCTCCATGGCGACGCACCCACACCCCTACCCCGCCGTCTCCATGGCGACGCACCCACTCCCCCGACATCTCCATGGTAACGCATCCATACCCCCACCCCCGCCGTCACCAAGGCGACGCACCCACTCCCCTGAACCCCACCGTCTCCATGGCGATGCACCCATTCCCCCACCCCGCCGTCTCCATGGCAACGCCCCCACACCCCCACCCCGCCGTCTCTATGGAGACACTGACGCCCCCCCCCTCTCTCGGCCTCGCGCCGTCTCCATGGCGACGCCCCCCCCCCTCCCCGCGCGCTGATTGGCTCCTTAAATTCAAACGGCGACGGTTGGGGCCTCTCCTGCCCCCAACGCAAAACAAAGTCCGTCACGAGCCAACGACGAGTCCCTCACAAGTCGTTAGAAGTCATCGGCAGAGCAAGCAATGTCGTAGCGTCACCTCGACACGAGGGGAAAGAGGTCTCCAAGCGGGAGAGGCGGCGAGACGAGGCGGGCGAGGCGGGGACTACAGCAGCAGCGGCGGTAGCGGCGGCGCGGAGGGACACAAGACTCACCGAGCACGGCGGAGGAGTGAGTCGGCGCGAAAACGTCACCGGGCGATACCAACTTTGAACTTTCCGTGTTAAAATTTTTTTTTTTACTTTAATAAGAATTTGCGTCCAGTTTTTTTTGGGTGTTAAACCGTCAAACGACCTAATAAAACAATACGGAATGTTCGATGGTGTTTTGCGTGGTTCTATTACGACTGAGTGTGGGTTTTAAGCCGAGTGAGTGTCAACCCTCCTGCGCAGTTGGTATCGCCCGAGTTCAACTCGACTTCCGGTGAGGGGAGGAGGGAGGGGCCGGAAGTTGCTGGGGGGTTAGAGGAGGGAGGGAGGGGCCGGAAGTTACTGGGGGAGGAGGGAGGGGCCGGAAGTTGCTAGGGGGAGAGGAGGGAGGGGCCGGAAGTTGCTGGGGGGGAGAGGAGGGAGGGGCCGGAAGTTACTGGGGGGAGAGGAGGGAGGGGGCCGGAAGTTACTGGGGGGGAGAGGAGGGAGGGGCCGGAAGTTGCTGGGTGGGAGAGGAGGGAGGGGGCCGGAAGTTACTGGGGGGGAGAGGAGGGAGGGGCCGGAAGTTGCTGGGTGGGAGAGGAGGGAGAGGGCCGGAAGTTACTGGGGGGGAGAGGAGGGAGGGGCCGGAAGTTGCTGGGTGGGAGAGGAGGGAGGGGGCCGGAAGTTACTGGGGGGGGGGAGGAGGGAGGGGCCGGAAGTTACTGGGGGGGGAGAGGAGGGAGGGGCCGGAAGTTGCTGGGGGGGAGAGGAGGGAGGGGCCGGAAGTTACTGGGGTGGGAGAGGAGGGAGGGGCCGGAAGTTGCTGGGGGGGAGAGGAGGGAGGGGCCGGAAGTTACTGGGGGGGAGAGGAGGGAGGGGCCGGAAGTTGCTGGGTGGGAGAGGAGGGAGGGGGCCGGAAGTTACTGGGGGGGGGGGGGAGGAGGGAGGGGCCGGAAGTTACTGGGGGGGAGAGGAGGGAGGGGCCGGAAGTTGCTGGGGGGGAGAGGAGGGAGGGGCCGGAAGTTACTGGGTGTGGGAGAGGAGGGAGGGGCCGGAAGTTGCTGGGGGGGAGAGGAGGGAGGGGCCGGAAGTTACTGGGGGGGAGAGGAGGGAGGGGGCCGGAAGTTGTTGGGGGAGAGGAGAGAGGGGCCGGAAGTTGCTGGGGGAGAGGAGGGAGGGGCCGGAAGTTGTTGGGGGAGAGGAGGGAGGGGCCGGAAGTTGCTGGGGGGGAGAGGAGGGAGGGGGCCGGAAGTTGCTGGGGGGGAGAGGAGGGAGGGGCCGGAAGTTGCTGGGGGGGAGAGGAGAGAGGGACCGGAAGTTGTTGGGGGAGAGGAGGGAGGGGCCGGAAGTTGCTGGGGGGGAGAGGAGGGAGGGGGCCGGAAGTTGCTGGGGGGGAGAGGAGGGAGGGGCCGGAAGTTACTGGGGGGGAGAGGAGGGAGGGGCCGGAAGTTACTGGAGGGGTTGGGGGGGCAGAGGAAGTCAATGGAATCGCCACCGTAAACTCAGAGAATCGCGACGCAGAGAATCGTGACTCACCGATTCCATTCAAATCTCCATAGCCGTGGAATCGCGAGCCGATTCGAAATGCGATTTTTCACTCGCGACGATTCGATCCACAGGCGCGTGGAATCTGCAGGGATTCCTCTTTGCTCTGACATCGGGGTCTGTCCTCCACTCAACTGCACGGGCCGAGAGACACAGACAGACACAGGCAGACAGACAGGCAGAGACACACAGAGACACACACAGACAGACAGAGCACCGCAGGGTGAGTGAGACTCGCAAAAGACCATTCAGCATCAACCATCATCACCACCATTACCATCATCACCACCATCACTATCGCCACCATCATCACCACCACCATCATCACCACCACCATCATCACCACCATCACAACCATCATCACCACCATCATCATCTTCACCACCATCATCATCTTCACCATCATCATCACCACCATCACCACCACCATCATCATCATCACCATCACCACCATCACCACCATCATCATCACCACCATCACCACCATCACCACCACCATCATCATCACCATCATCATCATCACCACCATCATCATCATCACCATCATCACCACCATCACCACCATCATCATCACCATCATCATCACCACCACCATCATCATCATCACCATCACCACCACCATCATCATCATCACCATCATCACCACCATCACCACCATCATCATCACCATCATCATCACCACCATCATCATCACCACCATCACCATCATCACCACCATCACCACCATCACCACCATCACCACCACCATCATCATCACCATCATCATCATCACCATCATCACCACCATCACCACCATCATCATCACCACCATCACCACCATCACCACCACCATCATCATCACCATCATCATCACCACCATCATCATCATCACCATCATCACCACCATCACCATCATCATCACCACCATCATCACCACCATCATCATCACCACCATCATCATCATCACCACCACCATCACCAGCACCACCACCATCACCAGCACCACCATTATCACCATCATCATCATCACCACCACCATCACCACCATCACCACCATCACCCTACCATCACCACCACCATCACCACCACTATCGCCGCCACCACCATCATCATCACCACCACCATCACCACCACCATCACCACCACCACCACCATCATCACCACCATCATCACCACCACCATCACCACCACCATCACCACCACCATCACCACCACCATCACCACCACCATCACCACCACCATCATCATCACCACCACCATCACCACCACCATCATCACCACCACCATCACCACCACCACCATCATCACCATCACCACCACCATCACCACCACCACCATCACCACCACCATCACCACCACCACCATCATCACCACCACCATCACCACCACCATCACCACCACCACCATTGTCTCTATCAGGATGAACACTGCTGCTGTCCCGACTGAACGCTGTGTTCACGCTCACCGTGTCTCTCTCTGTGTGTGTATCTTTGTGTGTGTGTGTGTTTCTGTGTGTGTATCTTTGTGTGTGTGTGTGTGTGTCTTTGTGTGTGTGTGTCTCTCTGTGTGTGTATCTTTGTGTGTCTGTGTGTGTGTGTGTGTATCTTTGTGTGTGTGTGTGTGTGTCTCTGTGTGTGTGTCTCTCTGTGTGTGTATCTTTGTGTGTCTGTGTGTGTGTGTGTGTCTCTGTGTGTGTGTGTGTCACTGAGTGTGTGTGTGGGGAGCGGTGGTGCAGCGGTTAGCGCGCTGCGCTATAAACCTGGCGACCCGGGTTCGATTCCCGCTCACGGCCAACACCAGTGGTGATGATCTGAACCGGTCCTGGGCTTCCCCTAGGTCGACTTAGCCTGAAATGAGTACCTGGTGTGGTATGTAAACATCGCCACTGGGGAGACAAAGGCGGCCGGGCGTGGTGCTAGCCACCCACCCCCTTGTGTACCGTGCCGGTCTTCATAGGTGCTCGCTAACAGCACTTGCCCCTACAGTCTGTTAAGGCTACACGGGGGATCTTTGTCTCTGTGTGTGTGTCTGTGTGTGTGTCTCTGTGTGCGTGTTTCTGTGTGTGTGTGTCTCTGTGTGTGTGTCTCTGTGTGTCAGTCAGGATGAACACCCTGCTATCACGGCTGAACGCGCTCTTTGCGTTCACGCTCACCGTGTGTCTCTGTGTGTGTGTGTCTGTGTGTGTGTGTGGGTGTACCATCGGACACTCCACCCCCACAACTCCCAATTGGTGATGGGGCAGTTGTGGAGAGAGTGGAGAGTTTCCCATACCTGGGCAGTGTGCTTATGACCGGCTCCAGTCTATCAGCAGAGGTCTCACTCCGAATCAGTCGAGCGGCAATATCTTTTCATCGGTTGCGTAACGCTGTGTGGAAGCTACCTGGTCTGTCGCTCCGCACGAAGCTTCAGGTCTTCTCGGCCACGGTCATTCCCTCCCTTCTCTACGCTTGCGAGACGTGGACCCCCCTGGTGGAGCATCTTCGCCGGTTGGAAACATTTAGGCTGGCCTGCCTACGATCCATCCTGGGTTTAACCAGGCTGGATTGTGTGAGGAGCTCACAAATCCTTGAAAGATCTGGGCAAAGTCCCATCAGTGAGCTCCTCCGGCAGGCAAGGCTGCGTTGGCTGGGTCATGTAGCCCGCATGCCCAGCCACCGCATGCCTAAACAGCTTTTGTTCGGCCGGATCGAGGGGGCTAGACGGGCGCGGCACGGGCTGGAGAAGAGATGGAGTGATGTGGTACAGGAGGACGTGGAGCTGAGTGGACTTGCCGATGACTGGTACCAGCGGTGTCAAGATCGGCCTCAGTGGAGGAGGCTCGTGAAGGACGCTACTGGGCAGTTGGAGGCAGTCGCCCTCCAACAACAACGGAGGGCGGAGGAGCGACGCTCACAACAACGAGCGGAGCGCCGGGTGGCTAAAGCACAGCAAGTTGGCACAGTAGGGGGCACAGGTGGTGCATCAGCCAGTCATCTCGGTCATCTCGGTCAGTCGACCAGTGGCACCTGGGTCTGCCCCGTGACCTCCTGCCAGCGGGCTTTCGACACTTCACGTGGCCTCAAGGTGCACTTGGCCTGGCACAAGCATCGTGGTGACGTCACCGCCACTTAGTGGCGAATGGCGGTTGTTGTTGTTGTTGTGTGGGTGTGTTTCACTCTGTGTGTGTCTGTGTGTGTCTCTGTGTGTGTGTGTGTCTGTGTGTGTCAGGATGAACACGCTACTATCACGGCTGAACGCGCTCTTTGCGTTCACGCTCACCGTCATGGCGAGCGTGACGTTGCTCTGCTTCGCCAGCACCGCCTACCGCCAGCAGCAGCCGCTGCCCCAGCCGCTCGGCATCGCCATCACGTCCGTTCTCGTGTGAGTACCACCAACACCACCAACACCACCATCACCATCAACACCACCAACACCAACACCACCATCAACACCACCAACACCATCAGCATCATCATCACCACCACCAACACCGCCAACACCACCACCAACACCACCACCAACACCATCATCATCAACACCAACATCACCACCAACACCACCACCACCAACACCACCACCAACACCACCACCACGAACACCATCATCATCAACACCAACATCACCACCAACACCACCACCACCACCAACACCATCAACACCACCAACAACAACACTATATAGTGATGGAACAGCGGATGCGGGCCCATGACCTTGACACTAAGGACCTACTCATTGAGATTATCTGTCCACTGACCATCGGCTTGTCATCGGTAAGATGCTTGGTCTCAGCTAGCTGAAGAAAGTTGCAAGCGAGAATTTCATGGCTGAGGTTCAGGATTGTGGTTCATGCAGCTGTAATCGCTGCCACTCCCACCATTTACAACATCCCATGTCGGTGAATGATGAAGAGGCTTGCCGTAGCTTTCGCTGAGAGGTTCGGAGAACCATGCGGTGCAGCAATGATGATGAGTGGTGGCCGCGGGTTGCTGAGAAGATAGTCTTTCTCGGTAGCATGCGATCAGAAATCTCTCGAATCCCATCAAAAAAGTAACTTGGGGGAAAGAATGGTGTTCCGTTATCCAATCTCAATGAACTGGTTTGCAGATTTCGATTTAAAGCTTTCGTAACTGCAGGGATTCATCTTCTTGGTTCTTTCGAAGAACAGGTCTGTCGAGAAGACAGACCTGTTCTTCACCTGAGGATGGCTGCTTGCGTTGTGGCCGAAACGTCGTGAGAATTATTTTATGTTTTATTTTCATTATTTCCCTTCTACGTCACTTTACCGAAAGAACCAAGAAGATGGTTTGCAGATGTGCTGAGCATTTCTGTGTGCTCTTGGGGGGAGGGCAAAGTGAGGATGACCCTGCTAAGGTTGCGGTGCCTCAAATGTTGGAAGTAGCAGTCGCCTCCTGTGAGTGGCTGGCTGAGGTGCCATTTGTTGAGGAAGTACGGAAGGCGATTCAGAGTCTGAAACCAGGAAAAGCGCCACGCAGATGATCTCCCGAGTGAGCTGCTGAGGTAGGGTGGCCTTTGTGTGCGGGTTGCGCTATGTGACATCATCACAACTATAGTAGTAGGTTTTTACCCTTTAAACTGGTACAAAACTGACACCTTTATACAAGGCATCATGTTTGCAATAACCACAACTTCATGCTCCATCCGTCTGCTACAGCAGAGATGGCAAACAGCTGTTGTTGGTGTGTGAGTGAGTGAGCTGCATGTGCCTGGCCTGGCACAAGCGTCCTCCAACAACAACGGAGGGCGGAGGAGCGACGCTCACAACAACGAGCGGAGCGCCGGGTGGCTACAGCACAGCAAGTTGGCACAGTAGGGGGCACAGGTGGTGCATCAGCCAGTCGTCTCGGTCAGTCAATGCATGGCACCTGCAGGGTCTGCCTTGTGACCTGTCAGCAAGCCTTCGACACTTCACGTGGTCTCAGAGTGCACCTGGCCTGGCACAAGCGTCGTCGTGACGTCACCGCCACTTAGTGGCGAATGGCGGTTGTTGTTGTTGTTGAGCTGCATGTGTAGCGGTTAGCGCGCTCCGCTATGAACCCGGCGACCCAAGTTCCATTCCCACTCACGGCCAACACCAGGGACGATCATCCTGAACCAGTCGTGGGCCTCCCCGAGGTCGCCTCAGCCTCAAATGAGTACCTGACGCTGGGTGTAGTCAGCGTCGCCACTGGGGAGGCGAGGTCGGCCTTGTGCCGTGCTGCGCACTAACAGCACTTGCCCCTACAGTCTGTTGAGGCTACACGGGGGATCTTTGTGTGAGCTATGCGCGTGTGAGCTGTGCGTGTGAACGGAGCCATATGTTGTGATGTTACTTGGATAGCCTTGGGTAGGCAGCGTCACCGCTCTAGAGACAGTCAAACACACAGTCCCCCAACCTCCTGTGTACCACACAGAGACACTTAGAGAGACAAAGAGCCCCCGTGTAGCCTTAACAGACTGTTGGGGCAAGTGCTGTTAGCGAGTAGCTGCACCTATGAAGGCCGGCACGGCACACGAGGGGGTGGGTGGCCAGCACCACGCCCGGCCATCTTTGTCTCACTAGTGGCGATGTTTACACACCGTACCAGCTCCACATTTGAGGCCGAGTCGACCTGGGGGAGGCCCACGACCAGTTGAGATAATACAGAGAGACCCACACAGTGACACACACAACAACAACCGCCATTCACCACTAAGTGGCGCTGACGTCACCACGACGCTTGTGCCAGGCCATGTGCACCTTGAGGCCACGTGAAGTGTCGAACGGACGCTGGCAGGAGGTCACGGGGCAGACCCAGCAGGTGCCACGGGTCGACTGACTGAGATGACCGAGATGACTGGTTGATGCATCACCTGTGCCCCCTACCGTGCCAACTTGCTGTGCTTTAGCCACCCGGCGCTCCGCTCGTTGTTGTGAGCGTCTCTCCTCCGCCCTCCGTTGTTGCTGGAGGGCGACTGCCTCCAACTGCCCAGTAGCGTCCTTCACGAGCCTCCGCCACAGAGGCCGATCTTGACACCGCTGGTACCAGTCATCGGCAAGTCCACTCAGCTCCACGCCCTCCTGTACCACATCACTCCATCTCTTCTCTAGCCCGTGCCGCGCCCGTTTAGCCCCCTCGATCCGGCCGAACAAAAGCTGTTTAGGCATGCGGTGGCTGGGCATGCGGGCTACATGACCCAGCCAACGCAGCCTTGCCTAATACAGAGAGACCCAGACAGAGACACAGACTCACTCGCGCAGAACACGCAAACTCCAAATCTACAGACAGCAATGCATCGACGTCGTCAGGTTCTGGGATTGAACCCACAACCTCCTCGCATGCCTGGGCGGAGGAGGTGTAACATTCTGGATTTGAAGCTTTCGTGACTGCAAGGATTTATATTCTTAGGTTTTTTTTCGGTAAAGTCACGTAGGTAAAAAATAAAAATTAATAAAAGTAAAATAAAAATTAAATAAAAATCACGACGTTTCGGAGGCAACACAAGCTTCCGTCTTCAGGTGGAACCGTCACAGCACGACTGCTGTATCAAGTAAAGAGAAATTCCAAGAAAACAGTCCTTGTATATATACTGGTTGAGGGTGGGAGGAGCCAAGGTAGGCCCTGGATATTATTATTGTGAGGTTCGGTGCGGCTGAAGCACGCTGTTAGGAATGAGCCTTTGTTGTGTAGACTAGGTGAGGCTGATGTAAAGGTGTAAAAGGGACTGAGCCTTTTGTTATGTAGAGGTGGTGCGGCTGAAATCGCTGCCAGGAAATGAGCCTTTGTTGTGTAGACTCGGTGCGGACCTACGTGACTTTACCGAAAAAACCTACGAATACGAGGTGTCACATCCCATTGGCTGCCTGCGTGTCAGCGGTGGCGGCGTGGGGAGGGGGGGGGGGTGATGGGAGGGTCGGGGATCTTTGTCTTGACCTTCGACCTTCGCGTGTGCGGCGTGCAGGAAGAACGTGGAGGACTTCACGGGGCCGCGGGACAAGAGCGACCTCGGCTTCGTCACCTTCGACCTGAAGGCCGATATCCTTGTCCCGCTCGTCCAGCCCGCCCGCCCAGCCCGCCCCACCCAGCCCGCCCAGCCCGCCCGCCGTACACTCACTGACGACCTCGTGGTGACCGTCGGCGGTTGAGGGGCTGCGAAAAGAGTTAATGTCGTAGCTCAAAAGGACGAGAAGTGGTGTGTGCGTGTGTGTGCGTGTGTGTGTGTGTGCGTGCGTGTGTATATGCGTGCGTGTGTATGTGCGTGTGTGTGTGTGTGCGTGTGTGTGCGTGCGTGTGCGTGTGTGTGTGCGTGTGTGTGTGCGTGTGTGTGTGTGTGTGCGTGTGTATATGCGTACGTGTGTGTGTGTATGTGCGTGCGTGTGTGTGTGCGTGTGTGTGTGTGTGTGCGTGTGTATATGCGTACGTGTGTGTGTGTATGTGCGTGCGTATGTGTGTGCGGCGTTCACCGGGGAGGGGATCCCGGCCGGGATCGTCGTCTCCGCTCGCTCCTTGACCCTCCGCTCGCTCCTTGACCCTCCGCTCGCTCCCACAGCTGCAGCCGCTCTTCAACTGGAACGTGAAACAGCTGTTCCTGTACGTGACGGCCGAGTACACCACGGCGGCCAACGTGAGTGGGCACGGGGGCGGGGGGGTGCTGCGTGTGTGTGTACGTGTGTGTGTGTACGTGGTGTGTGTGTGTACGTGTGTGTGTGTGTACGTGACGGCCGAGTACACCACGGCAGCCAACATGAGTGGGCACGGGGGGGGGGGGGGTCCTTCAGCGTAGACTACAGCAGGGATATCAGCAGGCGGTCAACGTGAGTGGGCACGGGGGGGGTGGGTGCTGCGTGTGTGTGTGTACGTGGTGTGTCTATGTGTGTGTGTGTACGTGTGTGTACGTGGTGTGTCTGTGTGTGTACGTGTGTGTACGTGTGTGTATGTGTGTGTATGTGTGTGTATGTGTGTGTATGTGTGTGTATGTGTGTGTATGTGTGTGTACGTGTGTGTATGTGTGTGTATGTGTGTGTGTACGTGGTGTGTGTGTGTACGTGTGTGTGTGTGTGTGTATAGGCAGTGAACCAGGTGGTGCTGTGGGACCGCATCGTGCTGCGTGTATGTGTGTGTGTACGTGGTGTGTGTGTATGTGTGTATCTGTGTGTGTGTGTGTATGTGTATGTACGTGTGTGTATGTGTGTGTACGTGTGTGTATGTATGTGTGTACGTGTGTAGGCAGTGAACCAGGTGGTGCTGTGGGATCGCATCGTGCTGCGGGGTGAGAACGCCTCGCTGCACTACCACAGCCTGCGCTCCAAGTACTTCTTCTTTGACGACGGCAACGGGCTGCGGTGAGAACTACCTCCTCACCTCCTCCTCACCACCACCACCACCTCACCACCACCACCTCACCACCACCTCACCACCACCACCTCACCACCTCACCACCACCACCTCCTCACCACCACCACCTCACCACCACCACCTCCTCACCACCACCACCTCACCACCACCACCTCCTCACCACCTCACCACCACCACCACCTCCTCACCACCACCACCTCCTCACCACCACCACCTCACCACCACCACCTCCTCACCACCTCACCACCACCACCACCTCCTCACCACCACCACCTCCTCACCACCACCACCTCACCACCACCACCTCCTCACCACCTCACCACCACCACCACCTCCTCACCACCACCACCTCCTCACCACCACCACCTCACCACCACCACCTCCTCACCACCTCACCACCACCAACCACCTCCTCACCACCACCACCTCCTCACCACCACCTCCTCACCACCACCACCTCACCACCACCACCTCACCACCCTCCTCACCACCACCACCACCTCACCACCACCACCTCACTACCACCACCACCTTCTCACCACCACCACCTCACCACCACCACCACCTCACCACCACCACCTCACCACCACCTCACCACCACCACCTCACCACCACCACCTCACCACCACCACCTCACCACCACCTCACCACCACCACCTCACCACCACCACCTCACCACCACCTCACCACCACCACCACCTCACCACCACCACCTCACCACCACCACCCTCACCACCACCACCTCACCACCACCACCTCACCACCACCTCACCACCACCACCACCTCACCACCACCACCTCACCACCACCTCACCACCACCACCTCACCACCACTCACCACCTCACCACCACCACCTCACCACCACCTCACCACCACCACCTCACCACCACCTCACCACCACCTCACCACCACCACCACCTCAACCACCACCTCACCACCTCACCACCACCTCACCACCTCACCACCACCTCACCACCACCACCTCACCACCACCTCACCACCACCACCTCACCACCACCTCACCACCACCACCTCACCACCATCTCACCACCACCTTCTCACCACTCTCTTCACCACCACCTCACCACCACCACCTTCTCACCACCCTCCTCACCACCACCACCACCTCACCACCACCACCTTTTCACCACCCTCCTCACCACCACCACCACCACCTCACCACCACCACCACCTCACCACCACCTGTGCACCACTCTCCTCACCACCTCGTCCTCACAACGTCATTAACTACCTCCTCACCACGTCACCCTCTGTAACTGTGTGCCTCTCTCTAGCGGTAACCCCAAAGTGTCTCTGTCTGTCTCTCTGTGTGTCTGTCTTTCTCTGTTTGTCTCTCTGTGTGTCTGTCTCTCTGTGTGTCTGTCTCTCTCTGTGTGTCTCTGTGTGTGTCTCTGTGTGTCTCTCTAGGGGTAACCCCAGTGTCTCTCTGCGTGTGTGTAGGGGTAACCCCAAGGTGTCTTTGTGTGTGTGTCTGTGTCTCTCTAGGGGTAACCCCAGTGTGTCTCTGTCTGTGTGTGTCTAGGGGTAACCCCAAGGTGTCTCTGTGTGTCTAGGGGTAACCCCAAGGTGTCTCTGTGTGTGTGTAGGGGTAACCCCAAGGTGTCTCTGTCTCTCTAGGGGTAACCCCAAGGTGTCTGTGTGTCTCTCTAGGGGTAACCCCAAGGTGTCTCTCTGTGTCTCTGTGTGTGTGTCTCTGTAGGGGTAACCCCAGTGTCTCTGTGTATCTCTGTGTGTGCGTGTCTCTATGGGTAACCCCAAGGTGTGTCTCTCTGCGTGTGTCTCTCTAGGGGTAACCCCAAGGTGTCTCTGTCCCTGTCGTGGAACGTGATCCCCAACGCCGGAGTTCTGCCGCTGCTGTCGGGCACTGGGGCCTCGTCGGTGCGATTCCCAGACAGCTACGAGACCACCAAGACCTACTGAGCCACAAGCTACTCACCACCACTCACCACCACTCACCACCACCACGCTCACCACACACAGAGACCACCAAGACATACTGAGCCACAAGCTACTCACCACCACCGCTCACCACGCTCACCACCACGCTCACCACCACGCTCACCACACTCACCACACACAGAGACCACCAAGACATACTGAGCCACAAGATCCTCACCACCACTTACCACCACGCTCACCACCACCGCTCACCACGCTCACCACGCTCACCACCACCACCACCACGCCCACCACTCTCCAGACACAAACCAAGAACTACTGGCGATCATTCACTACGTAAACCACACTCACCACACACAGACCTGTAGACTCACCACACACAGACCTATAGACTCACCACACAGAGACCTCGACTCATCACACAGAGACTCACAGACTCGCCACACCAGAGAGCCATAGACTCACACAGAAACCCATAGACTCAGTACACAGAGACCCACAGACTCACAAGGAGACCCCGAGCCTCACACAGAGACCCACAGACTCACACAGAGACCCACAGACTCACACAGAGACCCGCAGACTCACCACACAGAGAGCCACAGACACACAGAGAGACCCGCAGACTCACACAGAGACCCACAGACTCACACAGAGACCAACAGACTCACACAGAGACCCGCAGACTCACACAGAGACCCGCAGACTCACACAGAGACCCACAGACTCACACAGAGACCCACAGACTCACAGAGACCCGCAGACTCACACAGAGACCCACAGACTCACACAGAGACCCACAGACTCACACAGAGACCCACAGACACACACAGAGACCCACAGACACACACAGAGACCCACAGACACACACAGAGACCCGCAGACTCACACAGAGACCCACAGACTCACCACACGGAGAGCCACAGACACACACAGAGACCCGCAGACTCACAGAGACCCACAGACTCACAGAGACCCGCAGACTCACACAGAGACCCACAAACACACACAGAGACCCACAGACTCACCACACGGAGAGCCACAGACTCACCACACGGAGAGCCACAGACTCACACAGAGACCCGCAGACTCACACAGAGACCCACAGACTCACACAGAGACCAACAGAAATAACACGAACACAGATTATTCGGTGATAGTGCCGTTGGCAGCAGTGCATGAAGCACATTTTTCAAAAAAAAGAACTCAACTCTTCCGTCAGTAGCGCTGTGCTGTGCACGCAGACTTCAAATTAAATATCTATTCATGAGGCAACGTTTCTAGCAATAGCCAGCGATCTAAAACTAAACTACGTTTGGCATCACACACAGCAGGCTTTCAAGACCCAATATTATCCACGAGAGAGGTTTTTGGTTGGTGAGATCGCGTTAATATGTGTCGTTAAATACGCCACCACCACCCAGATTTGCACGGTCGTAAGCGCGCAAGCAAGCAAGCGAGCGAACTTAATATAAAGGATTTTTTAAAAAATCGATCTGCAGTGGCGTCGTCATCGTAGTAAACCAGACACTGGGCCGTCCATTATATTTGAATGCCGCACGAACTGGCGGTTGTGGCGTTATCGGCGGATGTGTTGAGTTCCATTTTTTTAGAATAAGTAAGCGAATAGAAACGTGGAACAACGAAAAAACTGCTGCGTCCGGGGAGAAATCAAAAGCGCGCACACGCACACGTCAACAAGTGTTGAAATAAAAATACATTTCCTCCGTAAGGAAAAAGTTTGAGAGCTGTGACGCGTCCTCTGTGTGTGTGTGTGACGTCGCGTTACGGGAAAGGATCGAACGAGATGGAATAAGAGAGCCTCATCAATGGCTATGAAATCGATAAAGTGACAACTGACAAACGTGTGTGTTTGTGTGTATGTTGAGCTTATTCTTGGTGCTTTCGGTAAAGTCGCGTAGAAGGGAAATAATAAAATAATAAAAATAAAACAATAAAATACAATTCTCACGACGTTTCGGCCACAACGCAAGCAGCCGTCCTCAGATGTCACCCTGTACAGCCACCAGCCTATACAGGTAGTCCCCGAGTTACGCCAGTAGTCCCCGAGTTACGACGATTGTCCCCCGAGTTACGGTTATAGTTCCCGAGTTACGATAATAGTCCCCGAGTTACGATGATAGTCCCCGAGTTACGATGATAGTCCCCGAGTTACGATAATAGTTCCCGAGTTACGATAATAGTCCCCGAGTTACGATACTAGTCCCCGAGTGACGATGCTAGCCCCTCGACTTACGCATGTAGTCCCTGAGTTACGACGGTACCCCCCAGTGACGACGGTAGTCCCCGAGTTACGATGGCGGTCCCCGAGTTACGACGGCAGTCCCCGAGTTATGATGGTTGTCCCCGAGTTACGACGCTAGTCCCCGAGTTACAGTTGTAGCCCCGAGTAACGACGGTAGTCCCCGAGTAACGACGGTAGTCCCCGAGTAACGACGGTAGTCCCCGAGTTACGCTGGCGGTCCCCGAGTTACGACGGCAGTCCCCGAGTTATGATGGTTGTCCCCGAGTTACAACGCTAGTCCCCGAGTTACAGTTGTAGCCCCGAGTTACAGTTGTAGCCCCGAGTAACGACGGTAGTCCCCGAGTAACGACGGTAGTCCCCGAGTTACGGTTGAAGTCCCCGAGTAACGATGACAGTCCTCGAGTTGCGACGGTAGTCCCCGAGTTACGATGGCAGTCCCCAGTGACGATGCTAGTCCCCGAGTTACGAAGATAGTCCCCGAGTTACGACGCTAATCCCCGAGTTACGGTTGAAGTCCTCGAGTAACGATGACGATAGTCCCCGAGTTACGACGGTAGCCCCCCAGTTATGCTGCTAGTCCCCGAGTTACGATGCTATTCCCCGAGTTACGACGCTAACACCCGAGTTACGTCGGTAGTCCCCAAGTTACGACAGCAGTCCCCGAGTTACGCCTGAAGTCCCCGAGTTACGACGACAGTCCCCGAGTTACGACGGCGGTCCCCGAGCAACGATATCAGTCCCCGAGTTACGGTTATAGTCCCCGAGTTACGATGGTAGTCCCCGAGTTACGATGCTAGTCACCGAGTTACAACGGTGGTCCCCGAGTTACAACGGTGGTCCCCGAGTTACGACGATTGTCCCCCGAGTTACGGTTTTAATCCCCGAGTTACGGTTATAGTCCCCGAGTAACGACGTAGTCCCCGAGTTACGATGGTTGTCCCCGGAGTCACGATGGTAGTCCCCGAGTTACGATATTAATCCCTGAGTTACGGCTGCAGTCCTCGAGCTACGACGGTGGTCCTCGAGTTACGGCGATAGTCCCCGAGTTACGACGATAGTCACCGAGTTACGACGATAGACACCGAGTTACGATGGTAGTCCTCGAGTTACGACGGTCCGACGATATTTCAATCTTACGATGTTGATAGCGATACGACAAAATTGCCATCAACATTCTAACATCGTTCAAGTGTGCAGACAACGGACATAATTTCCGTGAGTCCAGTACAATGTGATGAGACGTTACGATTTCATTTTAAGGTTACCACGATACGTCCAATGCACACACACACACAGCGTTATACACTCCAACCCGCCCCTCGCCCCGCCCCTCTCCCCCCGCGTTTCCGACCGCAACGAACTCGGCTCCAGAGAGGGGTGGTGAGGGGTGAAGGGGTGAGGGGTGAGGAGGTGAAGGGTGAGGGGTGAGGAGGTGAAGGGTGAGGGGTGAGGGGTGAAGGGTGAGGGGTGAAGGGTGAGGAGGTGAAGGGTGAAGGGTGAGGGGTGAAGGGTGAGGGGTGAGGAGGTGAGGGGTGAAGAGGTGAGGGGTGAGGAGTGAAGGGTGAGGGGTGAAGAGGTGAGGGGTGAGGGGTGAAGGGTGAGGGGTGAGAGGTGAGGAGGTGAAGGGTGAGAGGTGAAGAGGTGAGAGGGTGAGGGGTGAGGGGTGAGGAGGTGAGGGGTGAGGAGGTGAGGGGTGAGAGGTGAGGAGGTGAAGGGTGAGAGGTGAAGAGGTGAGGGGTGAGGGGTGAGGAGGCGAAGGGTGAGGGGTGAGGGGTGAAGGGTGAGGGGTGAGGGGTGAGGAGGTGAAGGGTGAAGGGTGAGGGGTGAAGGGTGAGGAGGTGAAGGGTGAAGGGTGAGGGGTGAAGGGTGAGGAGGTGAAGGGTGAGGGGTGAGGAGGTGAAGGGTGAAGGGTGAGGGGTGAGGAGGTGAAGGGTGAGGAGGTGAAGGGTGAAGGGTGAGGAGGTGAAGGGTGAGGAGGTGAAGGGTGAAGGGTGAGGGGTGAAGGGTGAGGAGGTGAAGGGTGAAGGGTGAGGGGTGAAGGGTGAGGAGGTGAAGGGTGAGGGGTGAGGAGGTGAGGGGGGAAGAGGTGAGGAGTGAAGGGTGAGGGGTGAAGAGGTGAGGGGTGAGGGGTGAAGGGTGAGGGGTGAGAGGTGAGGAGGTGAAGGGTGAGAGGTGAAGAGGTGAGAGGGTGAGGGGTGAGGAGGTGAGGGGTGAGGGGTGAGAGGTGAGGAGGTGAAGGGTGAGAGGTGAAGAGGTGAGGGGTGAGGGGTGAGGAGGTGAGGGGTGAGGAGGTGAGGGGTGAGAGGTGAGGAGGTGAAGAGGTGAGGGGTGAAGAGGTGAAAGGTGAGGGGTGAGGAGGTGAGGAGGTGAGGAGGTGAGGGGTGAGGAGGAGAGGGGTGAGGGGTGAAGAGGTGAGGGGTGAGGGGTGAAGAGGTGAGGGGTGAAGAGGTGAGGGGTGAGGGGTGAAGAGGTGAGGGATGAGGAGGTGAGGAGGTGAAAGGTGAGGGGTGAGGAGGTGAGGAGGTGAAGGTGAGGAGGTGAAAGGTGAGGGGTGAGGAGGTGGGGGTGAGGAGGTGAAGGTGAGGAGGTGAGGGGTGAGGAGGTGAGGGTGAGGAGGTGAGGGGTGAGGGGTGAGGAGGTGAGGGGTGAGAGGTGAGGAGGTGAGGGGTGAGAGGTGAGGAGGTGAGGGGTGAGGGTGAGGAGGTGAGGGGTGAGAGGTGAGGAGGTGAGGGGTGAGAGGTGAGGAGGTGAGGGGTGAGGGGTGAGGAGGTGAAGGGTGAGGGGTGAGGAGGTGAAGGGTGAGGGGTGAGGGGGTGAAGAGGTGAGGTGAGGGGGGTAGGGGGGGTGGGGTTAGATGAGGTGAGGGGGGTGATGAGGTGAGGGGGGTGAAGGGAGTGGGGTTCTATGGGGTGAGGGGGGGGTCTGAGTGAGCGAGTTGCAACAGCGACTCGCTGAGTTCCCCACGCGTCTCGCACCGCGTCTCACACGGCCTCTCTGTCTGCCTGTGTCTCCCTGTGTCTCACACGGGCTCTGTCTCACTGTCTGCCTGTGTCTCCCTGTGTCTCACACGGGCTCTGTCTCCCTGTCTGCCTGTGTCTCCCTGTGTCTCACACGGGCTCTCTGTCTCCCCGTGTCTCCCTGTATCTCCCTGTGTCTCACACGGGCTCTGTCTCCCTGTCTGCCTGTGTCTCCCTGTGTCTCACACGGGCTCTCTGTCTCCCCGTGTCTCCCTGTATCTCCCTGTGTCTCCCTGTCTCCCCGTGTCTCCACCAGCAGCAGCAGCAGCATCACGATGAGTGACGAGTTGATGAGCGGCTGGCTACGCAAATCTCCCTCCGAGAAGAAACTCTGCCGCGCCGTGAGTGACACCACGACCCGCATTCACGTCGCCTGAAACCCGCATTCACGTCGCCTGAAACCCACATTCACGTCGCTTCAAACCCGCATTCACGTCGCCTGAAACCCGCATTCACGTCGCCTGAAACCCACATTCACGTCGCTTCAAACCCGCATTCACGTCGCCTGAAACCCGCATTCACGTCGCCTGAAACCCACATTCACGTCGCTTCAAACCCACATTTACGTCGCTTCAAACTCGCATTCACGTCGCCTGAAACTCGCATTCACGTCGCTTCAAACCCGCATTCACGTCGCCTGAAACCCGCATTCACGTCGCTTCAAACCTACATTTACGTCGCCTGAAACCCGCATTCACGTCGCCTCGAACCCGCATTTACTAGTACAGCACTAATGTGTAGTGTGTAGTGTAGTGTGTAGTGTATAGTGGTGTAGTGTATAGTGTAGTCTATAGTGTAGTGTATAGTGTAGTGTATAGTGTAGTGCATCGTCTAGTGTGTAGTGTAGTGTATAGTGTAGTGATTATGGTCTGGGTCTGTTGTTGTTGTTGTTGTCTTGGTGTGGGGTCTAAGACTGTTGTTGTGTTGGTGTGGTGTGGTCTGGGACTGTTGTTGTTGTTGTCTTGATGTGGGGTTTGGCACTGTTGTTGTTGTCTTGTTGTGGTCTCGGACTGTTGTTGTTGTGTTGGTGTGGTGTCTGTGCGTCTTTGTGAGTGAGTCTGTGTCTATGCCTGTCTTTGTTGTTGTGTTGGTGTGGTGTCTGTGCGTCTTTGTGAGTGAGTCTGTGTCTATGCCTGTCTTTGTTGTTGCGTTGGTGTGGTGTCTGTGTGTCTTTGTGAGTGAGTCTGTGTCTATGCCTGTCTTTGTTGTTGTGTTGGTGTGGTGTCTGTGCGTCTTTGTGAGTGAGTCTGTGTCTATGCCTGTCTTTGTTGTTGCGTTGGTGTGGTGTCTGTGTGTCTTTGTGAGTGAGTCTGTGTCTATGCGTGTCTTTGTCTAAGTGTGTCTATGCGTCTACTCACTAACGTCACTGGCCTCAACAGCCCTGTCAACATCCACAGTGCAACACGCACTGTGGATTGTTGTCCATTTATTTTGTAGTTTCGGCAAAATTTCACTCTTGA